GCTTTAGGGGTACATGGAGAGTTGCGAGGGGATTGACGTACACTTCGTTTTCTTCCTCGCATTTCTTGAGATGTGTTTTCTCCGTCACTCTGCAAAAATAAAAACAAGAGGATTGTAGGAGGATGGGAAAAACAGTCATTATATGGACAGCATTTAGTAGAAAGGAACGCAGCCAAATCAGCTATAGCCAAATTTGACTGGGCAATTTAATTTCTTACAAGAGCACTTTGATGCGGATTCCTTTAACTTCGAACTTTGCAAAAATGCGAAGTTCGTAAAATAAACTGAGACCATAGGAACTTCAAATGGAGTTTTTATGTTGGGCATAGGCTATTTTCTTCTTTGTATAATTCATCAAATATATTAAAAATGAAGACAAAAAATATCTAGCTGACGCAGACGTCTGGCGAGTGAAAGAGAGCTCTCTTCATCATCAATTTGGTGTTGCAAATACTTCCTTCTTCAACAAAGTGCACATGAAAAAGCTGAAAATTCTTTCTTTGAATCCTGTTCCTCTCTAAATTGGCGCCAGAAAAAGTAATACTTTAGTAGTAAAATACAGGCAGCACCAAATTCCTTTGTAATCTGTGTGATTTTAATTTATTCCATCTCTATTAAGTAGCTTTTAGGGGCTAATCTCAAACTTGATCCCTTCTCTTATTCTTCACCCAGTCCCACATGAACTTCCCTAGAGACCATCAGACTTGTACGTTACCTTACCTGGAATCAAACATAGGACCTCCGAATCATGAGGAGAAAACTACACTACTACACTATATGGCCACTTGGAGGGGATTTTGACGGGCTAGATATCATTTTTAATTATGTTAACCCTCCAAGCATTTCTTTTCTTCGAAATTCATGGAAAACTATAATTTGCTTTTCCCGAAATAAAAATCTCTCTCCCTGTGTTCAACCGAATGTGGAAAGGCAGATATATCAGCAATCTATGAAATATCAACATGGCTTCTCCTTGGTTGGTACTGAACACAAAAGTGACAATCTGCAAGAAAAAAGTCCAATTTATAAAGATTTAAAAAAAAAATCAAACTTGAAATATACCTACGTAAAAATAAATTTTGTTTCAAACATAAATGTTTTTAAAAAATTTGAATAGTAGATAGGTAGCACTACTTTCTTGCTCCTGAATATCAGTGGAGAAATTAAATTTATTACCTCATCACTGTCTTGAGAAAAATCTGCATATTTTTTAATCTTGGATGGGCTGTCAACAGAGAATCTGGGACTGCTGCGGAAACTGGGAGATTCTTTCGGAGATTGACATTCATCCAGACGGGAGGACCTTCGTCTTTTAGCTGGAGATGGAGACATAATTCTGTTTCAAATAAAAATGTTCCAGGTTATGTACAAAGGCAGAAGGTTAAGGACATGATAATGAGTTCCCTACGGCTAAGTGCCATTTGAGGTCAGATACAAGTAATGAATAGCTTGAGAGGACAACAGAATAGTAGTCTAAAATAACTGCGAAAGTTCTTCAATTAAAAGATATGGAGGCCTTCTGATGTTTTGAAGTGTATGATGCAATTACACAAATTTTAACCTTTCTTCTGAGGTTCTTTAATAATATTCAAGGGACAATCCTTTGACCCCCCTGCCAATATGGAGGACTCCGAAAAGAAAGACTGAAAAAAGTTTCCCTTTTTCTTGACTTATTCCTGGGAACAGCCTGCATTTTTTCAACGATTATACGGCACCATACATTACTCGAAGTTTTTTGGACGCTGAGATGTGGAATAAAGGAACTAGGATTGTTCTAATATTCAAATTTAGCAATAAATAGTAGTTTACTAACTCAAAGTAAGTTGTAAGATACCATTTGAGCGGCTTGGAAGACAAGGCGTATAAGTGCAATTTTCGCTGTTTCGAGAAAACGTGCTCAAAGTTTCAAAATTACATGGATCCTAATGGCGGAAAGAAAGTTCAAACTAACTTTTTAATGCTTAAAATTTGGAATTTGGGAGCGAATTCTTCACAGACTATGCAATCGGACAACTTTTACTAGAGATCTTTTTTTTTTTTTTTTTTTTTTTTTTTTTTTTTTTTTTTTTTTTTNAATGCCGAATCTTTGCGAAGATAAATACAATTTGACCATGTTGTTCAACCGGAATCAGCACAATCCAGAATCCGGGGCTTTCGACCACCCAAAATAATTGATAGGTATCTCAATTTTTTCAAAACCTGCACTTGTGCGCCTGGTTCTCCAAGCCCCTCAATTCACACCCAATTTTTTTGAAAGATAAATGACACCGAAAATGAAGATTTTTGAGGTTCCAGAACAAGAATACTCCTCTGTAGGGGCTTAGTGCGGTTTTGCAATGACAAGTATACTGTCCGTAAGAGTCAAGGTTTAAGATCTGAATATTTTATATTAGATGGTCAGAATTTTATGACTCTGTATAAATCACCCAATGGTTTGCATGTCGATGGTGTGAGTCCGCAATCACTTATCTGGCTTGCGGTGTCTAAAAATCTCCGCCTCAATAACATATTTTTAAAGAACAAATATTGACATCATTCCTTGAGGTTTTTGCAGAATTTTCTTCGCACAGAGGAGAAAAATCACGAATAAAGAATTGCCGTTGCGTAGTTTTCCGTTTAAAAACTAAAGTACGACAGGAAGTCAGCGACGTCGCCAACCAAGTTATGTGATTGCCAACTTACACTGCCAATATTCACACGTGAGAGATCAACATTCTAACAATACGATGAATGATCTCCATGAAGCTTATGGACCTTCCTTTGAGAAAGCTAAGAAAGCTGTATATCTAGAATTATGAAGGCCGGGGGGCTTGGAATGAACATGAAAGGCCCTGGAGGTTTACATGCTCATAGAAACTTAGAGAGAAAAAATGAATAATTCTTACGAAGATGCAGACTTACAGAAAACACAATGGGTATCAAATTTTGAGATTAGAAAAAATTTTGGACACTGAGGAGAAATGAGGCTTGGATTTCTAGAACTATAGGAGTTGAAATATTCGGTTAAAACTAATTAATTGGTGCACACGAGGAGATGGAGATGTCATGTCTGGCAGAATCATGTTTTATTGTTTTTGTTTGCATTTGGCAAAGCTCAAAGCCGCGCAAACTCGCAAAGCACAATAAAAGCCTGTGTCCCACGATCAAATGAACTCGTCAAATACTCATCAAATGAAAGATGGCGGATGGTTCTCGCGCAGTCCGCTATCAAAAGTTGGCGGGCCGTCAACTGTTGATGATGGACTCGCAATCTTGCATTTGGTGAGTATTTGCATAAATTTGATGAGTTCATTTGATTGTGGGACATCCCATTATCAAATAAACTCATCAAATGCCAGATGGCGGAGATGCGCACTGGTTCATCAACATCATATTGACGGCCCGCCAACTTTGGATGACGGACTTGCGCGAAAACCACCTTTATAGACAGAGTATGGCCATTTCTGTTCCGGTTTTTCATTGGTCGCGAGCGAATAGGCTGACACGATGGGGCCGTAAATAAACAAAGAAGATGGCTGTTACAAAGACATAAAGACGGAGCACTAAAAGCAAAAAATGAAGCTTCTAGAGCTTCTTTTCAATCACCTCTACTATTGGCTAGAGGATTGGCGGCGAAATCGGGACAAGTTTGAATTCAAATGTAGGGCGGGAACTAATAAATAAAATTGCGGAAACAAAGTATTTTAGGTTGATTTTTGCCCAAATTCAGGTACACACTCATATTTTATTAACTTTAGGTTAGTTTCGGTCCGTCGTCGATCGACTGATTTCATTTGGGAATAACGTAGATCTAGAACTGTAACGGCCTGTTTGAACCTGCAGAACCACCATAAGCAGAAGAAAAACTAACTTTATCTGAGATTACTGCCTGTTACCGAGCAAAAGTAGGTGTAATATATTAGGACGCAGACCGAACTTTCTTAATATAATCGTTTTAAGCATTTAAAACACGTTTCGAAGAAGAAATAAGGAAAAATCAAGAGGACAAGTTCAAATCAAATTTCCGTTTGCCGCCATGGATTCCCGCGCTCATTTACACACTCACACAAACGCGCAGCGCCGAACCTAGCTAGAGTACCTGTATAGGGAGAGTAGCGACAGATCTGAAACTCCGAAAGTCCATCAGGCCTTCACCGATGCCTCCGCGAATAAAGTTAGGGCCCAAAAGGGCAGCCAACCTATGAATTTCGAATGTCCAGAGCGATTTACAAATACAATTGTTACGAACCGTCGTTTAGAAAGCATGTATTTGGTTTACTTTTTGCATAAATTTACTTATTTTTGCGAAAGAACGCGCATTTATGTACATTCTTAGCCATCTTGGTTAGAATTGAAATCTGTAGCCTGGCAGTGAAATTTTGTGTGTTAGAAGTTGCTCAGAAGGGTGGCTGCACTTTTGGGCCCTAAGCCCTCCATGAACCGATCTGTCGCTACTCTCCCTATACAGGTACTCTTAAAACCTAGCTTCACTTTTTCCCCGTGCTTTTAGATACGAGCACTCCGTCTTTATGTCTTTGGGCTGTTATCAGCAAGCAAGATTGAGGTTATGCACATCTTACATCCTCCTGTGATAAAGGTGTAAGGCGGTTTAACAATAGTTTTCGTGTTTTTTTCGTGTGTTATTCGTAGATATGCTAGTTTACATTGTTACTGCCGTATAATTGAAAATTTGGTCAAATTTAGCTTCTTATCGATGTTACGGTGAGTCGCCATCTTGTTTGTTTATTTACGGCCCTAAGAGCATCATGAAGCCTAAAAACTCGTTGACCAATCAAAAAGCGGAACAGTTTTCCTGTAGTAAAAAGATACGAATGGCCATACTCTGTCTATAAGGGTACTCTAGTACGCATCTCCGCCATCTTGCATTTGATGAGTTCATTTGACAGTGGGCCACGGGCTTCAAGAACTCGTCCCTGGTAAAGTTCAGTAAACCCAGCATGACCCAACCGCCAACCGAGTAAAGTAAAGTAAACCATCCGCTGCAAAGTGCAACTGCCTTTCGATTACCTTCGTGTTCGTCATCGTCTGTTCGTTACGTTCACAACTGCTCACCGGTATTGAGGGCAAATGAATCGCCATTCCCTCTTCTCCTTCAACTGTGTCTATTAATGAGTTGACATTTTTTTATAGTCGCTGGAAAGGCGTTTATCTTCATAGTTTACTGTATCTTTCATCCTCGTTTCTGCGTCTGCGGTGTGTTCGTCTGTTCGTGCATTGCTGATCCAATTTTCCGCTGTTCATCACGCCGAAATCACATCAGCATCGCTCTTTAAGAGACGTCATTTCGCAATCAACCCAACGCAAATTGTGAGATGGAAGTAGATAAACAGTTATTTAAATGTTGGGGATGCCCTACTTCTGAAGCCAATCCTGCCAAGACAATATATCACTCTTCCAATGGCTATTATGGTTACTTGCCTCGTAATCTAAGCTTTGAACACCAAAATCAACAAGGTACTCATTTTGAATCTCTAGTATCACATGTTCATGTTACCCATAAGGACATTAAGTATTATTATCAACAATATAGCTTACGTGATTTCATTGTATAGGTACGTACTTTGTTCGGCAGGTTCACTTTCCATCGCACATCACAAAACAAAGAAGGTACTTATCAAATGTCACCTAGTTTAAAGTGAACTAAGTACAGTTTGATTACTGTGCCCAAGTGGAGGTTGGATTTAACAATGAAACTGATAATCAAAACTAGCCAACTGAAGAGGAAAATACGATTTGGTGTTGATACTTAAGTGCGGTAGAAAGTGAACCTGCCACAACATGAAGTATGCAACATTGGATGCCTGACAAGGTAAGAATCACCTGAGTACAAGTTAAATGTGGAAAGAAATCATCATTGCATGATGTAAAATTTTGAGGATCAAGGTAAAGGGTGAAGAATAATTTGTATAGTCATGCCCCTTTATCAAGCCATGAAAATGCTCCTATCAGGCATGAAACCAATCATAACACTCTACAGAATTAGTATACAGTTGGATGGGAAGTTATAACAGAATCCTCGGCCTGTATTCAGCTGGAGCCAGATCAGTGCAGATAAGTACTAAACTGCCATGAGCTGAATGACAGTGTGATGCAAAGGCACACAGGCAGGGGGGGTATCGTTTAAATATTTTTGCATCCTGGTTTTATAGCTCAGTTTCATTGTTTAGGCAAGGTCAATTTTTAAATGGTGATGAAAACATCCAGAGCTCATGTAGTGATTAAAATTAAAATATAAGGTAAGATGATGTCTTCAACAGAATCTGTATGATTTCAACATCTGCTTGTCTTACCATTTTTGCCAGAGGCGAAAATTGTTTATTTTAAGAAATATGTTTTATTTTGCTTCCCTTTCTGTCGGTCTCTTTTTTTCTCACTCATCCATCTAGAAAAATGAGATTTTCTCCCTACCTGCCCAGACTGTAGGCATTTCTTCTGCTTAAAAAAAGCTCAAACCGAAATTCTAAAAAATGAAATCGAAGCATTTTTTCTGTTGCATTCCATCAATTATCACAGATGATTCATGAGTGACAAACCATGGTGAGATGAAGGATTTAAGCAAGTCTTCATGATCAAGCAGAGGAGCTAATTATAGGTGTAATGCTTGTTGCCTACATCGTGGAACAGCATGTTCCCAAATTATTTCGTAGCCAGATGGACCTCGTAACTTTCTCTGATAGTTACTTCTGGTTTTTTTTGCAGTGCCTAACTCAGAACATAGCATCAGGAGCATTTTAGCAGGCAGGAAACGAACATATAATGAAATGTGTTCCGGTGTGAATTATCGAGGCTTGGATAATGTAAGTATCCCTGTATTTTTTTGTTTTTCAAGCGTAGGCATAAAAAAAAATTGTTATGTGTAGCCCTCTTAATTCAAGTAGAGGAACAGGGAGAGTGAGAGGATGCAAGGACTGACTGGCATCTTCTTTGTCAAGATTTTCAATTTTGTTTACTACCTTTTCATTTCAAATAAGTACAGGTACCTTACTTTTCTTAATTTTCATGAAGTAAGAAAAATTTGGTTGTCATATGAAGCTAAAATAAGTACATCATTAAGTTTTAAGGAAAAAAGATGCCCAAAATTTTTGGTGATCTAAAAGTATCGCTTAAATGTGCACCATAAAGCTATGAACATTTCTTACAGGTGGGTAAGAACTTTAAAATTTGCCCCTTTCAAGATGTTAAGGAAAAACTTGTTGCCGGGTATATGACAGGGAAGAAGAATGAGTTTAGTAGGTCCTCTGTGTGCCCATTTTTTGGAACCACCAATGATCATAGCATGCGCCGAAAGACTGGATGCGCAAAATACCCATCTCAATCGCAACGTTTAAAAGTCTCTGGATTTGTTTCAATTTCTTCAAGGAAAATCGAACCAAATGTTTCTGTGCAATTTAATATCCATTTTTCGGAATGAAAGAAGAAAATCTGCATAAAATTTCAACAGAAACTGTCTGTTTGTTTTCCTTTAAAAGGTCCAAATAAGTGTAGGGACTTATAACATTGCAATCTAAATATGTATTTTTCAACCCCGGCCATTGATATGCACTCCCTGTCAGTGCTACTTTTGACCGCCGCAAAATCTGTTTTTCTTACTTATTTTGAAAAAGAAGTTGACAATGGACAACTTTCAACCAAGAATCATTTGATCACATTTAGTCTAGGATACACTAAATTTCACAATATAAACTTACAAATCTTCAAATTTGTTATGAAAAAATCTCTCCTTGAATCCCTTCATTTTTAAGCATTTCTTTCCGGCTCCTCTGTTTGCAACAATTTCCCCATAGCATTGAGTGTCTGTATGAGAAATCTTAACAAAATTTTAAGGAAAGAAGAAAAAACTGTAAAAATATACAAAGTAGAAAGTCCTTCTTGATTTTTTAAGTAGGTGATACTTAGCGCCACCTTGTGCTTTTGCAAGCTTTTGATCATGTAGTCAGTGTAAATTTTTGCATACAATTTTTTACATTTTTACTTACACGAGTGGCAAATATTACATTCTACTTTGCATTTTACATTAATACAAGTAATTTTTAGAATTTAGCCAAATTTTTTTGCTGATTTTTTTCATATAAATTTTTGTGTATATCGGAAATTTTACTTTTATTGTAAGTGAGAAAGTCTTCAAAAGGTTTTCCAATTTGTATCAGCATACCATGCATCTATACCTACTGTCATTTTCATTAGATGCAATTAAATTGAAGTGTTTTAAACTTTTTAATCATATGCATAATTTATTATTTGGGTGTTGTTTAATTTTCAATTTTCAATTGTTCCCAGCAAAAATCTTGTAAATACCGAATGAACAAAGTCGAAGAAACTAACAATGCTGGTATGGTCCTTGGATAATGTAACCAGAAAACTGCTGCCTTGATTTTTTACACCTGGTTTCTTTTTTTTTCTACATATTACTACCCTGTGTTTATTTATGTAAAATAATTTTCTCAAACTAACCGATGCTTTTTATACTTTTCCTATCGTTATTTTAGCTTAACAGTAGATCTTTTGGATTGCATTTTGCAAAAAGGAACCAGAAGCATTGCAATGATGCTAAGATTGTGCAAATTCATCCTGTGTAATGAAATTACTGAAATCATGAAAAAGTATGAACTTTACATGGTAATTTCTGTTTTGAATTCACAGTTTTTAGAAAGTAAAATAGAAACTCTTAATGAATAATCAGGTTCTTCTTATAAGACAACACAAGTTGCATAATCTTAGCAACTTTGCAATGCTTCCGGCTCCTTTCTGCAAAATGCTATCCTTTTAATCCTCTTGAAGATGTGACAATGTTTGGTATTTCTGACTTTTCCTTACATTTTGGTAAAATTTCAATGTATAGAGATAAAAAAATCTTATTCCTTCTCAAAAAAGTTCAAGTTTAGGTTGAGCTTCAATTTTCTTTGCGCAAATGACATCAGCTCTTATCTTATTGCAAAATGGTGCCCCGTACAGTTTCTTTGTCTTTACTGTCTCATTTGTGGTGTTTCTATAACGAAACCGCAACATTACAAACCCCCTCCCCCCCTTTCCTTACATATCAATATTTTCTGATGTAAATACCTATTTGTAATTGACCTGAGTAGTTTAGTCTTCTTAGTTCTTTCATATTGTAGTCTCCCACTAACAAGTACTTACGTAGCAAATTGTTTTAAAATGTATGTATTCTCATCCTGACCTGATCGTAGTCTATTTATTGACAATATTACATGTACCCAACTAATTAATGTACCTAGAATCGATATTTTTTCACTGTGACACAATTGTTGGTTTTTCATCTTATTTTTATCATTATTATTTATTCAGGTTTACATGCTAATATCTATATATAAACAATTCGAATGCAGCTAAATTTATTAGGACATTTTATTACATTTTGAAGTATGCAGTGTTGCCTTCTTCATAACATTGCCATAATTGTCACTCCAATACACTTATGATTCCAGCTATTTTGTAAAAAAAATCAGCTTGCCACAGTTCATAGGTCTTGAAGACTTAATGTCATTTTTATTTCTTCATCCAGGTTTATTTTTATTTATTTATTTAAATACCTGTAGATTTGCCATCTTACGGGGGAAAAAAGGAGAAAAGGAAAAAAACAATAATGAAGGAAATGCATTTAAAATTCATTAACTCAAACACTTGGAAATGTATGATTTAGACAAATTCCAGTTATGACTCCTTTTTTTTCTCCCCCTCAGTAAGAAAAGACATACAAGGAGAATATTTTATTAGTAATCTAATTTGACTTTAATGTCGTCCTCACTCTTGAGTATTTGATTAAAAATGTCTTACAAACTTTCTCTGTCACTTTCACTTGATTCTCCGTCTGTGCCGTGATATTTATAACCTGTTAATGTTATGCCCCTAATTTTGTGCCAATGTAACCTTTGCCAAGTTTTCGGATGCCAACATACTGAAGTGGCAACATGTATTTGACTGTAGGAGGTGCTTGAATATTTCATAGTGATAGAAGCAGAAGAGGAATGAGATTCAATAAAAATGAAGGCATGGAGAAATGATGAACTTGTCAATACATCGAAGGTATGATTGAATCTGAAAAAATTATCGCATTCTTTACAGCTGTGAAGATTAATATCAACCATTTTAAGTTTGTTTTTTTAAAAACATTTTAATTTGAAGATGCTAACCAACAATTTTTCTCAGAAAGTGTTTCACTACTCCCCAACACTAGGTAGAAGATAAAATGAAGATCATTATAAAGAAAATAAAAACCCACCAACTTGTTATGGTTTGATAATTTAACAATATCATAGATTTATCAACTACTAGTGTGGTATTCTCTATTAGTAACCTAAGCTGCCTTTCTCACTGCTTTCAGCTCCGAGCAGCAATTCTCTCCTCTCATCAGTCTAGATCTCTCATTAGAAAAAAAGAAAGAAACAAAATCATGCAATTGATTTTATACTGTTCTCTCTCAAGTGTGCACTTTTGATTATTGATTTATTTTATATGTGATAATGTTTAATCTTGCGTCGCTAGGCACACTCATTAATTCTACTTTTAATTCAATCAAAATGCTAGTTACCATTGAATTCTCCTCGTACTAATTTTTTTTTTTTACTATTTTGTATTTGTATAGTTAATTTTAATTCTAAGTATTTTTTTTGAGTTAGTATGTCTAACCGAAACCTTGTCATTTATGAAAATAAATTTTCTCATTTTTTTAAACTTTAGCCTGTCCTTTTTTTTTTCGTTCATGTAATCCTCTTAACCTTTTACCAACATTCAAGAAAGAAAAGGGTGATCTAAACCACTGGTTCCAGGGTTCAGTTCTTTCAGGTCGAATAAGTTTGGGGTTCATTATAAGGTGAATAGGAAATTGACCTCAAGGGATCCGAATTTCGTCTTACTGAGGTCTCTCCACTCCCCCAGCGCCCCTTGGGAGATAATATGGGCGTCCTGATTTTATGAGACAAGATTTTGAAATAATTCTTTCAAAAGTGATCAGTCCTGAAATTTTTATCTGAATGGATACCTTTAAGTCCAAAACCCACCCATCCCTGTCCAAAATTTTAACCCATATAGGTGGGGGGGATTTGGATCATGAGATTTTTAAAACATAACTGTCGTGTCCCAAGGGAAAAGTTCCAAAAAAACTCTGGTGTCCTTGCCTTAATTTTGAGTTTTGGTGGACATACAATACGAAAATTAATGGTAAAAGTAAAACTCCCAAACCTACTCTCAATTTTTTTTAAAAGAGAAACTACTCAATGTCACTTTTTTAAAAACTTCCGTGATTTTCCTCTTCTGTGAAAGGAAAATTTTGTCTTAACTTCATGGTATGTTGCGGATTTGTCCCTCCTCAAAAATATAGGATGGGAACGGAGATTCTAAAACATCGCAAATGAGATTCCGCGTGGTTTGGGAATTTCACTGTCATCATCTATGCAGTTAAAAGTAAGTAGGTACTTCTCAAATTTTTGGCTCATTCCAATCTTTGAAAAACTCGAATGGGTGAGATTACTGAGATTCCATATTTTATCTCCTTTAATAAAACTAATTCCACTGATTTTGTCATATTAAATTTTTTCTGTTTCAAGATTTTTTTTCATAACAGTTAGTTCAACAGTTTTTGGTGGTCTGATGGGGCTAAATAATTATTTTATTCNACATCCAATACGAAAATTAATGGTAAAAGTAAAACTCCCAAACCTACTCTCAATTTTTTTTAAAAGAGAAACTACTCAATGTCACTTTTTTAAAACTTCCGTGATTTTCCTCTTCTGTGAAAGGAAAATTTTGTCTTAACTTCATGGTATGTTGCGGATTTGTCCCTCCTCAAAAATATAGGATGGAAACGGAGATTCTAAAACATCGCAAATGAGATTCCGCGTGGTTTGGGAATTTCACTGTCATTGTCTATGCAGTTAAAAGTAAGTAGGTACTTCTCAAATTTTTGGCTCATTCCAATCTTTGAAAAACTCGAATGGGTGAGATTACTGAGATTCCATATTTTATCTCCTTTAATAAAACTAATTCCATTGATTTTGTCATATTAAATTTTTTCTGTTTCGAGATTTTTTTTCATAACAGTTAGTTCAACAGTTTTTGGTGGTCTGATGGGGCTAAATAATTATTTTATTCAAAAAATAATAGGTTATTCTTCTAAAGTTAATATTTTGTTGAATTATTTGCAGATTGAGAATTAGGTTAACTTTATTCTTTTTTTATTTTATGAGATACACATGTATACTCTGATGATTGATTAATCTATTAAATAAATACAGTGTTTTTTATATTAATCTACCTATCCATAGCTAGATAAATCTGCTTAAAAATTTAATAGTAAAAGGATCGATTGATTTCCTCCTTTTCTTGGATTTAAGATTAAATAAGTACATAGCAGTTAATTACCTATCTTTGGTACCTATACTTCGGTTTTAAATTTTTAATTAGATTAATAATCTTCATCTCTTTACTGCCAGTTTATTTTTATTTGCGATTTTTTTTTTGTTATTATAATTTTTGGTAGGTGGATGAAATGGCTTTATCAACCAAAATTTAGCAGGATTGAGAAAATAAAAACTAAAATATTAAATAAAGTGTGCTTCTTTATTAAAATTTAGTAGTGAACACATGAACTCGGCATCCAAATTCAAAATGGATTAAGTAAGAGAAGAGAAATGGAAGGAGGGAATAAAAATAGTGTATTTTCTTCAGAAAAAACATGAAGAGAAATATACAAAACAAAAAAGCACACCTACTAGTGGGAATTGGTGGTGAAGTTGTAAAAATGCAACATTACACATGTTTAAAGGTTTTTAGTTTGAATCAATCACATCGTGAAAGGAGGGAAAAACAAAGGTAAATTTGTTTTGTGAGCCTACATGAACTATGAAAAAGTATACACTGAAAGAAATTTTAATCAATGTTCCGCTTGAAAAAAAAAACTTTATCATGTAATATGACACCTGTATGATTGCCTTCTTTTTTGTTGGTGATATTATTGACAAAATGATCAAACCTGTTTTAGCCCCATACCATGGAATTTGGGATAAATTGCTGACTATAAAAGATGGGCCAATCTTATTTGGTCAAAAATCTATAATAACTGCTGTCTCTTTTCCAACTCTGGCTAAGAAAGAGAAAATTAATAATAATAATAAATAAGTAAAGCTCAGAAACATTATCCTCAGTGAATCTTTTTTGAGAGATAACTTGTTACACCCTGAGGAAGGAATTGCTTTTTTCCCTTTGATGCAAAATGAATTCAGCTGCGTCAGCACTGAATAAAAATCCTCTATTGCATTTCAGTACATGATAAATTTGCTTTTGTTTATATGAAGACAAATATTTTTACACAGAGCTAACATTTTTGGTCGTATTAAAAGTTCACAATATCTTAGAAAGTCAAAACAGATTTATTATCTGTGCATTCTGTTGACGTGATGAATATTCAAAAGTTCTTGTGTAGGAGAGAACTCAAAATGATAAGTTGAGTAATTATTACTCCACGGAAATTCACTGACATAATTCTTGTTCAGGTTAAGAGAATTGACCATCTTTTCTTTTCACCGAAGTGTTGAAAAGAACTTGAGTTATGCCAAATACATACTAACATACTTTCTTCACTAAACTTCCTCTATTTCAGGTTTTACATTAGATGTAGATCATAAAATATACAAAAGAGAAATAAAAACAACACAAAACTGAATTAAAAAGGAGGATAAGATGTAGAAAAGATTGATAAAAAGTCAAGAGTAGAGCTACACGAAATTCAAAAACGAAACGGGCCCCTATTTACAGCTAATATCCACTGTGTTCTTCATAAGTTATGTAAAAAATACATAAAAATCTATCCTCACAGTAAATTTTAAATAGATAAAATATATATTTATTTACACTTGCAATACTTTACAGAACTTTTTATGAGACGGAACTCACAATTAACAAGGATCAAATATAAGGAAATTTGTTTTAGGAATCATTTTCTGCTTGTTAGAGCATTAGACAGCCAGTCCATTGCCTCTTCTAGCCCTTCTCCTTTTTTAGCTGAAGTTTTGAAGATTTGGAATGTTCGATTTTTTAGTGCATCCAGTCCTAGAGCTTGATATACCTCTGTCACGCTCATGCAGCCATCCATGTCTTGCTTGTTGGCAAGGACAACTAAAATTGCACCCTGTAACTCCTCCTCCTGAAATGAAAGGAACAATAAGGTAACCTTGCGAAACTTAAGTCAACAGGATCTCACAATCTCAAAAGCATGGAACATTTGTGGTGTCCACGCCACACAGACCACGCTCCTGAGTTGGCAACTGCGCGCCGCGCAGAGCCTTTTCCCGGAAGGTTCTTGAGCCTTCCTTCATTGTTCCACCACCGCCACACACTCCCGCATCTCGGCGCCTCTGGATCCTTCTAGGTTCCTGCAGTCCCGTATATATGCCACCGGCACGACCGGCCAAAGTCAGTCTCACATCTCTCACTTTTTGCAGCTAGTCTCGCTTACACCAGCCTTGTTGACTATGGTGTTTGTTGTTCTTTTAGTGTTCGAATAAATATTCTCACACCGATCCACGCGCGTCTTATTTCCTCGTTCCCCTACACATTTAATATTACGTGCCGTAAACTATTATATTCTGGTGTTTCAATGTACGTATGTAGGAACTTTCGTAAACGTAAAATCCTGTTATATTGCTTAATAATGGGCAAAGAAGAATTAAGTTCTAACTATGTTTGACTTGCACAATGATCAAAACCTAAGAAATGGTGTCATTTTTCTTTTCTGGGAGGGGGGGAGGAGGGAGGNGGAGGAGGGAGGGAATTTCATGAGTAGCCTCTGATATTTTGCCAAAAAAGCAAAAAAACGTGAGGGAGGGGCTGTAGGTTCTTTTCCAGAGATAAAGGGCCGGATTTGAATTAGATGATAGTTAAAAATAAGTGCGTTAGATAAATGTGCTCTTGGAAGAGATTGAATGGAGTTCTTGGTTGAATTCCACTATGAAATTGTTTGATTAATATATCAACAGGTCATCAAAAGATGTACTGAGGAGGTATTAAAAATGTTTGGACAATGATAAAAACAAAAGTTTGAAATAAAACTTACCCGGAGCATGTACAAGAGTTCATCCTTGGAGATGCCAATCCTATCTTTATCTGCTGAGTCTACTACATAGATAATAGCATCTGTGTTTGAATAGTAACATCGCCAGTATGGTCTATCAAAAGAAAAAAATGGGTATTTGTTGTAACATAGATATAGGTTATTATTGCTGGTAATGAAAAGTACATGAGAATGCAATGGAATAAATAGCTGAATCACATTCAGTAACCAATATCTATACTATAAGCTCCGAGACCTCCTAATTTTGCGAAACTGGTAACGCTTAGTTCCAGCGTTCTACCGAGCCGATTTTTATGATTTTTGCGGCTATCGACGGGCAATTGTCTCTAGATAAGCCAACTCTTTTCAGATTTTTAAAATATGGCCCAGGTTTTTGTATATTAAATGGTAAAGTTGCGAATTCTCCCATTTAAACAATGTAAATTTATATTTTTTGTCATAGTTCGTTTGAGCGTTCTACCGAGCAGATTTCCAAGTTTTTTGCCGTAATCGACGGGTAATTAGCCCTAGATGAGCCCGCTCTATTCAGATTTTGGAAATAGGACCCAGGTTTTTATACAATCACGTTATAAAAGTGAGTGAATTTTCAGAATGCTCCGAGACTGCTACCGCTATGCGCGGGAGGATGCGCAGTGGTTGAGGAGGTTGCGCAGTAGCTGTGTAGCCTGCGCATCAGCTCTACACTTATCTACACAAGATTCGCACTATCTTTCTCAAGACGAGCGTTGGCCGAGTCGTCAAAGACGTCGGAAGCGTCCACTCTATTCATGGTGTAGGTTCGATCCCCGACTCCCGATATTCTTATTTATTACCTGATTATCAATGTTCCTTGTTTTACTGCAATATTTCATCAAGCAGTCATTCCAAATGCGTATTTTAGACTTCAAAAAAAAAAATTTTGTTTCTTTATTCATCAAAACCAAAAATTATTTCATTCTAAAAGTAAAGTATACCTCATATCGTAATTTTTTAGGGGAAAAATAAAACTAACACCGATAGGAGGGTAAAAATAGGGCCGCGAAGCGGCCCATTGATGGCGTGGAGCGCCTTCAGGGGGTTGGGCCGCGTAGCGGCCAGGGGGCATAGCCCCCTAGTATTGAGATATTCTTTCTTTCAAATGATATTGATTTAGTGGCAAGGATAGAGATTTGCATGTAATGCAAAAGAGTTCCAAAGGTACAAAATTTCTGAAGTCTAAAAAATATCTTTTGCAACATGAAATTTTACTTCATAACAGTAGCGAGGGTCTAGACCCTTTAACTCTGTTCTATGCCTCGGTTTGGGATCAAACCCAGAGTTGCAGAATCTTCCAAACCTCCACATTTTCAGGCTGGCTTTCCGCAAAATGTTCCTCTGATTTCAAAAGTGATGACCTTGTTCTTCCATTTTACTTTTGACTTTTGTCTTTTGACCCTTAAAAATTTTCACTCCTTCCACATTTCATGGAGCTTTTTCATATTTTTATGCCCGACCGCATGATCAGACATTTCTTGCACCTCTAAACAAACGCTTTCCTTCGTAATTTAAGCTTGAATTTGGGAGAATGTAAAAATGCCACGATACTAGAGTGGCATGTTCTGAGTTCCAGCAAATTTCGGAATATGCTCATGATACAGGACGCTTAATACAGGTCATGACCACCACAGAGGTAATCCAAAACAGTTTACGATGTAAGTGACAGTAATGAGATCCTAAGTTTACTCGGACATTCTTTAGAGTTGGAATACAAACAAAAAGGGTCATAACTTGAGAGGGTGGGAAATGGATCCAATAATTTGCACAAAAAGTTATGGATATTAACTTGTCTCTTTTAGCTGAGGTAGTGGTTACACTTAACATTCATTTTACACATTTTCAATGACGATAAATCTATTCTCAAATTTCCTTTTTGATCACTTACAAGTATAACTAACCACCCCCTCCCCCCCCCAACGAGGAATTATTTGGGAGCGCTTTCCTGAGAGACTTCATAAATGAGAGATGGTTCAAGAACTTGGAAAAAAAGAAATACACCATGAAAAAATAATTGCTAGAACACGGAGCAATACAGAAGTGGGTAAATTTACTTCATGATGGGAGTATCTTAAAACATATTGAGAGTTAGTACCAAAATGTGCCTGTTTTCTTAAATGTTGAAGAGCTATTTTATTAATATGAAATACAATTGTTATTACCCTGTTGTCTGAAGTAAAATAAAAGAAGAATAAGTATATTTATTTATTTTTAGATTTTCCTCACAAAAATAAAGCTTTCGGATAAGAACTGATTGAAAGACAGGCCTTGGCCAAGTCTTTCAAACCTAGAGCCTGTTAAAATTGTTGAAAGTTGTTACCCTCAATAATTATTATTATCATTTCATTTACTTAACTAAAAAAAGGGTAGATTTTACCTACCTTATACTTGTCTGGCCACCCAAGTCCCAGACTTGGAACTTGAGGTTTTTGTAAGTAACTTGCTCCACATTAAATCCTATGGTTGGTATAGTTGTAACGACTTCACCAACTTGCAATTTGTACAGAATAGTTGTTTTTCCTGCTCCATCTAAACCTAGGATAAGGATCCTCATTTCTCGTCCTCCGAGAAGATTTCTGAAGTAACTAAAGAGCCCACCTGAAGAAACACAGAAAAAGACAATTTTATGAATTGCTTACAACCAGCTGCTCAAATAAGCACAATTACTTGATAAAAAGGTATTCAGAATGAATCAGATTTGGATTGTGACAAAAGTTTTATAAAACATATGAGCAAATCTTGACTAGAGCAGCCATCATGAAGCTAGGCAAAACAGCTAATAGCTGAGAAAGTAGATCCATCTACATTGAAAATTGTGACAGAGTGCATCCAAGCAGGGCTATCTATTCTTTAAAGATTTAATTAAACTTAAACAAGCAAGATTCATGTAACTGTGTTGACTGTGCATCTCTCGGGCCAGTTTGCTTCTTGGTAGGTAAGCAGTGCCTTGCCCGAACGTGGCTACCGCCACTCAAAATATGCACCAAGTTCAGCAGGAGGAAAGACACACATTTTCACATTCAGAATAGTTTTTTGTGACTCAGAATCTTTGACAGAAAAACAATTTTTTGATGGATAGAGGTTTTATTTTGTGAGGTAAAAATAAAGCATTCCTCTAAATATATGGTACATTATGACCAGAACTATTTTAATTTCAATTTACCCCTTAGGTAAACTATGCATAGTTCCTATCTCCTTCATTTGGTCTATATAAAGTCGATGCTGAATGTTTCATTAAAAATTTGTGCTTACTTAGTTCAGAATCTTACTCACATTGGTATCAACATGATAAATGCAAAGAAAAATTTATATTTTTTCCAAATAGTTTGTGTTCTCTTCAGACCTCCATTTCAGGTAAATAAGTTCAAATACTGTCTGATTCTCTGTTCTAGAGCTGTGTCAAATGGAAAATTCAAAACTCTTAATTCTTCATTACCGAAGACTGAAGCTTTTCCCTATGGAATTACCCTCCATGGGGATCCGAAAATGAAGACAGTAAAATGTGCACATTAAATGCAGTAGCTGACACATTTGTTAATAAGCAGTTGAAGATCTGAAGTCTGATCTCAAACTGATTTCATTAATAAGGTTTGTCCAACATTTTCAACAGAAAAAGAATGAGAAAGAAAATTGTAGGTCCCGATTTTCTCGTTTGTTGCTTTTGGAGGAATGTTTAACCAACTCTCAGCAGTCTCACAATTTCAATTGAGGGGTGGCGTAAAGCTGACTAGAAACAGACTCAGATTCTTCCACATTGTATTTTGAACTGAGACAGCAGTTTAGTTTACTTCTTTTATTTGTTGTAAGGTTGTGTACAGTAGAAAATCCCGCGGTTTCGTGAGACAATATAGGGAGGAAGCGGGTCCAGAGGCTTTGATAAAATCATAAAATACAGCAAAGTGTGTTGAGTAATCGACAAAGCTGATTAACAAATACAAAAGAGGTAACAATTGAGAAGCAAATTGGTTAGAGAATGGCTGCTTGAATGTATATCAAGGATTCGGACAAAAGCTGTGACTTAAGGACCGGATTTTTCCTAACCTAAAAGCTAATAGATGACGTAAATACAAACCCATAGTTGACACTTGAGAGGTAAAATCCAAAACGGTGGATCACTTGAAACAAAAAGAGTAAGTTTGCTGCACCTGAACTTCTTTAACTCTACACCATAATGCTAATTTTACCACTTAAATTGATCTGCAATAATCATTAAACATCCACGTTCGCGAAAAGATAGGAGCACTTGATTTGTAAACAAAAAATTAACGAGCTTTCATCACTCACCACATCCAAGCCACCGATGCTTGTTTACAACCTCAAAATTCTGTACCTGTACTGATTACTCTACTGTATTGATAACGACTGTGATTAGGAATCTGAATAATCACAATTTTTTCCAGGAGCAATGTTCATTTATCGTAAGGGTCTTTTCAATTTAAGCCGAGTGAAAATGGCAGTGCATCTGTTCTACAATTTAATCGCCATTCTTTTAGTGATAACTCCTGCTTATTCAGAATTCGTAGATGCAGAAAGTCTCGACACATATGACATCGAAGGCAAAGTATTTCCCCCAATTGGATATTCCATGGATATTAGTAATTGGCAAGCAGATACCAAAGTTATGGTCAAAGAAGGCAGTTACATGGGATTCTTAAAGTAAGTTACGTTTATGCTTTTATCTTAGTGCTGACCAAAAATTCCTCCAACTCTCCGGGCACTATTTTTTCTGCCAAAAGTAGATCCATGATGAATGAAACATGAAGCCATTTTAAGCCAATTCACAAATAAGATATATTCTTAATTACAGCCTGTATGAGACAAGTCGCCAGAAAATTTTTCATGGCTAAGACTCATTTGTCACCATTTATGGATCCACAACATGTCATGGATTGGAACCGTTACTACATGGCTTGACGGCATGTCATGGATTCATAAACAGTGTTTAAAGCATTTTTCCTCAATGCCGTCCTATCCTTGACACTTTGCATGAATCTACAGCATGCTATTCATCCATGAAAATTTCTTATTCTCCCGGCAGATGAAACGCGAACTTAGATTAATAATATGCCATGGATCCACAAATGGTGGACTAATGGACTGTTTCCATTTGGCATTACTAATCAGATTGTAGAGTTTGCTAACTGTATAGTGATACAAAAATAAATCGATTCGCTCCTTATCAGGACTACCTACTCGTCAGGTCATTTCATACTTTCATGTGGTAGGTATCCATGATGAGTAGTGATTTAAACGATGAACTCAACTTTTAAAAACACAAAAAATCTTAGACTGAAAGCCCATGGCACTATGAGCAAGATGGGCACTTTTTCCGGAGCATCTTGGTTAGTTTTGAATAACAGTCAGAGTCACATCAGTTGTACAAGGGAAAGGAAGCTACAAGTGATACAAGCAGGGAGCATTTTCAATAAAATGTAATAAGAGTAAAAAAGAGTAATAAGAGACAATTTCTAAATTTACTTGAATTTCACGCCTTCTTCTCAATTCTTCTTGTAAAACTTATTTCACATGCTCATTTTACAGGGAAGATGGCTCTTTTGTTGTCAGCAACTTACCATCAGGGTCATATGTGCTGGAGGTCATAAATCCAAATTTTGTGTATGAACCTGTTCGTGTTGAGATAAATTCAAAAGGCAAAATCCGGGCTCGGAAAGTAAATTATGTACAAACATCCTTGGTTAATCAGCTACCTTATCCTTTGAAATTGAAGCCTTTAGGTCAGCACCGATATTTCAAAATCAGAGAACAGTGGCGGCTTACAGACTTCCTTTTTAATCCAATGGTAATATTCGTTTTTAATTCACTTTGCTTTATTTACCTCTCTCTTAAGTTACAGCCTCCTCAGCCCATAAAGGACACAAGGGTGAACTTCTGTAGTCGATACCTTTTTATATTTTTCAACCAAAGGAATACATCTGGCCCTGCCCCTCAAAAAATTTCTGAGGTGGCAAAAGAAATTTTGGAAGAGACCTTTAATGAAGAAGTCTTTTCTTCGGAACTTTCACAAGTAGCAAAACACCCACCAACACTGCAAGAAAATCCAAATAAAAGTATTCGGAGTAAAAAATAAGAAATAAAATGAGTATGTTTTTTCCACTTTGCAAGGATTTATTCCTTTGTAAATCAACCGCCTATAAAACTCTCTGGTCCCAAACAGAAGGAGCCTAATAGTAGTTTTCGGAGGTGGTATAAAATCTCAGGATTTGATCAGATTAGATTAGATTCATTCATTCTGAAAAAAAAAAACAAATAATTAGAGAAATGTTCTACCTCCACCCTGATCCTAGCTCGTGCTGTGGAGTAGCAACTTGAAGTACAACTTGAAACAACTTAAATTACAACTTAAAAGAATTACTAACTTAATACTTTTATTGGCCACTCCCCGACCACCAAAACAAATGAAAAAACATAGAAAAACACTAAACCAAAATAGAATAGGACTTCAGTTAGATGGTGTCAAACCCAAGTCTGACCCAGGAAAGCGTCTTATACAATTTTCTGCAGATTCTGTTTACTTTCAATCTATTTGTCCCCACTTCAAGTTTATGATGTCTGTTCCATTTTTTCAGGTCTTGATGATGGTATCACCTTTACTTCTTATCATGATCCTCCCGCGAATGCTCAACGATCCAGAAACTGCCAAAGTATGAAATATTTCAGAACTTTCCATCATCTATTTTATTTATATGTTACATTTTTTAGGTCCTATGCAGGAGATTCTCAACACACCATTTCTGTAAAAAAATCTCGAGACACCCAGTACCTAGTAGGTGATTCCTCCCCTTTTCCACTTCCTCCAATCATTCTATAAGGCCCTCTTTCAGGTCAGGCAACCAGACCTTTACGTTGCCGGCCACGGTATCGACACCCAGTATCTAGTAGGTGATTCCTCTCCTTTTCCACTTCCTCCAATCATTCAATAAGGCCCTCTTTCAGGTCAGACAATCAGACCTTTACGTTGCCGGCCACGGTATCAACAGAGTGACTGTAACTTGGCCTGTAATTGGCAAACTCAACAAAGAAATCTAAAAGCAGATTGAATGCATAATCTCTATGATCTGACCATCCTACTCATCTGAATCTTGCAATCAATTGCTGACAGTTGTCATGAACCAAGAAAAGGGGAGCATTGGTTAAACCCCATGTTCTGGAGGTAGCAAACTTATCAAAGCGACAACAGATTGCCTGGGAAAGTGCCTCTCAAGATTTGTGTGATGGGTGTCTTCTGTAGGAGACCCAACTTTTTTGTTTTTAACTCTACAACTAATTATCAAGTGCAACTTTTAATATTTTTATTAATAAGTATCAAATATCAAAATATCAATACCAAATTGAAATATTTAAAATCGGGTTCCTGCGTGATCTAAAGATTGCTTTGAAAATAAGTATTTCATCTGACTCCTTCGAAAAATGCAAAGGATTTTAAAAAAAAAACCGCGTGGCGTTTTTGTCATCTTTAAAGTTTTATATCTAGAAATTATTGGGTAAGAACAACTAATAATTGCCCCTGAGACATCTAAATCTTCCAAATAAGTATTCCTGGAGAGGGCCTAGATGTCTTTTTGGTGAGATGTCTTACTTTGCCCTCCTTCATGAGGTGCTCTTAGGTGCTTCCCCCTCATTATATTTCTAATATTGCTTATAAGTACAACTTACCTCCTGGCAAACGAAAAGCCATCTTTTTCGTAAAGATATCTTACTTGTCCTTGGTACAACGCTGTTTGTCTTTTCTTTCCATGGATACAAGTCTTTTTTTTCTATCTTGTATTTTTCATTTTACCCACTATGCTGTTGTTACTTTTTAGGAAATGGAGCAGTTCAACAATCTCACTAACTACGATATGCCGGAGCTGTCAGAGGCAATCACATCATTTTTGCGTGGCAAGACTGATAAGCAGAAGCCGAAAGCTATCAAATCTGCAAAGAAAGGAAAGCCAGAAAATAGCAAACAGAGCTAATAATCAAGGGGACACTCTGAACATTTCCAGCCAGTAAGTAATGAGACAGTCTGACTTCTTTTGATCAGCCCCTATCACAACTTCGTGCAGCTCAAATGCATTTCTGAAAAGCTAATCTTATACAAGTGAAGTCAACTTTTAGATCAACCCTTGTTCAAGGCCATAAAAGTTACCTTTAAATACAAATTGACCGTAAATTTTTAGAAGGAAGATGAGTCAATTTGAAGTAGCTAAAAAGTTTTGCAGCTACAGGTCACTAAACAAGACCAAGGTTACTTTCATTCAAAATTCTCATTGTTTTTTTTATCTTCAAGTTTTGACAAATTAGTGCCTCTTTAAGAGCCCACGTCTGTCCAAATCAATAAATTTTTGTATCTTTTTTCGAGCTCTTGTCTACTGTCTCCAGAAATTTTAAGTGCCGAAAATTCCTGGCCACCACAGTCCTTGATTATGAGGACAGAAAAGGAGTGTATTGAGTTGCCAATAGACATTATAATTATTCAATGTTTCATCCTGTTAAAAGAAAATGAGTTCATATCATCGTTAATGTGCGTCCATTCTTTCATCTCAAACCATCACCTTCTATTAAGAAAATCTGGAGCGCCATTTGTGTTCAAATGCTTCGTTGCCAAACTTATCAATTTTGTAAAAAAATGTAATGAACAGAATCACTTGAAAATTTTACCTCAATACTTCTTGATTTATCAAGACTATTTCCTGAATTCTATTTCATGAGAGTATGAACAAAAGTTTTAAAGAAAACATTAAAACAATATTGAATTATTAAGATATCTGGCCACATAGCATCGAAGCATAACTAGCATTTCTGATACTCTGCCCGGAAAGGGGCAAATTCAACTCTCCCTCATGTTATGGCATTATTACATCTTGCCTGTCCTTTTCCATTGTCTATTGAGAAGAGCTGAGGTCGAGCACTTCAAATTTATTTTTTTCTCTCGCTAGGTCAGCTCCTCTGAATAAATGTATAATGCGTTTTACATGACTCTGTGTTAAGCGTGATCATTCATTATGTGGCACTATTTATTCTCAATCAGCTAATTTCAACGAAAAGCTGTAAATATTTAATTTGATCATGATATTTAGTGGGTACACATAATCACATTTTTTTTGGAATTAAAGACGTTGAACCAAATAATTTGTTACCAATAATGGCTGAGGTAATACTGTTATTTTTTCACAACCAGAGCCAGGAGGTTCATGTAGAATGGGCACTCCGCCACGTAAAAATCAGGCATGGACATAATGGGAATAATTCTCTGGTGAGCCTGGCCTGGGGCCTGCGATTTTGCATCAGAATCAGACTCTGCAATTCTCTGTGTGCGTAGAACATCCCTTTAATTACTGTGTCTAGTCTGTAAGTACAGATTTTAATAAAGGCATGCTCAGAAGTGATTGGTTCTAACTTGTATGTTGTACGCAAAAATGAACAGTTTCAAGTTTAGCTGATTGATAGGTGTTTTTCATTTTTTGCCAGTGGGACCTTGAAATTTTCCAAAAATAGTCTGGAAATGTCCCCTGATTATCTTCTGTAGTGTAGGGTATGACTTTTGTCCATTTTCCCCCAACCATCAGTGGTGGTGTAGCAGCTTAGTGCAGCTGATAAAAGTAATAAAAAAGTATATCAGCTCAATTATCTATTGCAGTAGTCTCGATTGATCATGCCTTGTGGTGCTTTAATTATCTGGTTGTCCACCACGAATCGAGTCAACTGAAAAGAGTATTACTATGTCTATTGTGTATTATGTCTGGTATGTGTCATTTTCAAACATAATGCCAGACATAATTTTTGGTTGTTAGTGCAAGGATTGTGAAGTTCTTTAAGTGAACGAAACTTCGAAAAGCTTGATTTTTTTCATCTTTATCAATCTTGGGTCATAATGTCCCTTAATTTTGACCCTTCAACTTCAGTCTATAATGACCTTCAGAAAAATAACCTGAAGAAAATCAAATACTGGTATTCAATCAGAATACTGAGTCTTGTCATTAAGACTCTCAAATAGTCATTTTATTCATCAACAGTGCAAAAAATACCTAATTTGTAGTTTGTGGCAAACTTGAGGTAAATCTTTGCTTGCAAGGCAGTTTTCGAAAGTGATGACTTTTCTTTTTTGCTCCATAATATTTGATAGTGGGATGGATTGCGCATTTTGCCTTGAAATCAGGCATTTCATTTAACCATTAAAGCAGACACTGTTCCATGAGGCTAGTCAGAAATTTGGATTTTGCTAACCAAATGGAAAACAAAAAACAAGCTGTTTTCTATTTGGTTATCATAAAAAGTATTATGCATGAATAGGTATCTACTGTAAATATTTTTAAATTCTAGGAATCAATTATTATTTTTTGTTCCTGCATAAGCTAATTTTGTTATTCATAAGTAAGTCCAATTGGTTGATAATGTTGAAATGCTGTGTTTTTTATTTAGGATTTCATCTTGTTTACTTTTTATAGCTTGTAAGTTTCTCAAATCTGCAAGGTATCAAAAGAAATAATAAAGTGTGTTTTTTTTTTTAAATTTTCAAACCATAACTCATTTGTCCTCATAGCCCTGGCAAGTGAAACATTAATCTAATGAAACAGTAATTTATTTTTTATGTATTTACAGCATAATAAAATAATTATGAACGTTGCAAATTAATTATGCATAGACAGCTTGGGGAAAAGCTTAGTTGTGTAAACTCTTACCTATAGCCAAGAAAAACCATCTATATCCTTACAGGAATTTCTCGTTACCTTCCAATTTTTTCACGATACTTACTCAACAGCTTTAACTGTACTGAAATGTTTAAAATGTGTCATAAACATTCTTAATGGTGCATTCAGTAGGAAAATAACTGTAGGTTTATGAGCACTTATTTTAAGCCTTGTTAATATGTCTCAGCTTTGATAAAACTGTCATTTTTCTTTTCTAATTTATCCAAAGTGCCTGATGTTTATGACTTAAGAAATTTAGAGGAGGAATTTTCAATATTTTGAATGATGTAGGTATGTGTTTTTATTGATTGGTTAGCTTCTTGACCTAGTTTTAAATTTTTGAATTTTAATTGGTCTCTAAAAACCAGGCTCCAAGGATAGAGGAATTTTTAGGCACATATTAAGAAAATTTAAGGTCTAGCAGTGTACATGTTCAAGAGGGAGAGGTGTTTAGATCCAAAATTAGTTGTCCAATTTGCAGCAATTGATGAAACTACTTTGAATGTAGAATGTAGGTACTTTTAGTAGGCTAATTTTCTGGCTTCAAAATTTCAGAAATTTTGGACATCCTTTTACAGAGGCTTTCATTTCAAAGAATGTCAACTTTTTCTTTTTTTCTTCTCTTTTCTTTTTTCTCTCTAAGAATTTAAAATACTTAAAGTACTTATCATTTTACTAGAAGGATACCTATAAACACGGATCATAACAGACTTTTTAGGAATCCCTCAAAATTCTTCCAAAAATCTTAAAAACTTGAAAATGATCACAAACCTACCAAATCTGTCGACAGTTCTTTGTCAAGTATATATCGCTGTAATAAAATTAAAAACCATCCATAGACTTCCCTTTTACTGACTGTACTAACAATTTTATTATGTCAAAGAGGAAATATACATGGAAACGAGAAAGAAGGACTTTATCTAAGTATATAAATACATTTATTGCAGTAACAATGAGGTAAAAACATTTTTTTCAAAAATACTAAAAAAAAGTTACATTTTTGACAAAAAGTAATGTGATGGCACCTAAAATGTTTGCAATCATGAGGAAGCACTTAATGAAATGTTTAAAGAAGGCACCTAATAAACATGATCCTCCAAAAATTCCTATTCAAGACCCTATGATTCAGAAAGTGGATCCAACAGACAACACTGCACCGGTGACTCAACTGTGTCGTGTTCTCTTTTAAGATTATTTTTAGAATATTTGACATTTAAGGTACCTAGGCAAGGCTTGTTATATTTCATTTTTCCCGAAGCCATTTACAAATTTTACATCTGAATTTAATGTGACCTTTGCCCTGTGAACAATCAGTGAACATGATAGTACATATTTTCATCATATTCATTTTCTGCCCTTGAGTTGAAAGTGGTGGAAGATTTGATTTAAAAGAGATAGTCGTGTCAAAAAATATGTTAGGTTGATACCTAGTTATACAAGTAGCCCGTTTCAGAATACTTTTTCTAAACGCGCGAGATAGGGAATTACATACAACAAAGCGGAAAAATAATCTGAAACGGGCTCTAAGCACCAGGCAACTTGCTCGATTCGAAACTCTGCACAGAACGATAGAAGGATGCTACACTCGCACAAATGCCTTCAATGTCGAGGTTTAAGCAATTTCATTCCCACGAGTACGCCTCTGCCTCGGTAACGGAAAACCGAAGAATGTCTGTGTTGCAGAACTTTAAAAATATCATGATTCTTCAAAAATGAAAATAAAAACCAAATACCTATTGCTGAAGTAGCGCAGTGCATTGAAAATATTGAAATTAAATTGCAATTTGATTTCAATAAAATTGTAATTTTTTACCATTAATTTGCAATATTTTTACATCATTTAGTCGATTTATGCCGATTTTCAACAATCAAAAAAATGAGCTCCATTCGTCAGTAAGATCGACAATATACAATGCAATGAAAAATTCCAACTTATTTCCATTTGATTGCAATAAGTTTCAATAATTGGGGCCTCTTCTAATAGGAGCTAGGCAACATACACAACACTCAGTGGCATTGCAATATTTTTATAATGTAATTGCTACTTGTTGCAATCTATACTACTTGGGTGTAGGTTTCTTTGATCACCACCCGGTGAATTGAGCGAAATAATCGACCGTTTAGTTTTCTCAGAACATTGAAGGAACTAAATAAACCAGGACATAATGAATGGTTATAGTCTGAACCAAGCACTACCTACCGCTTCAAAATTTCAATTTGTTTTTTAATATCTCGCAATTCGGTCATGACCTCGGAGATGAGATTTTTCACATCCTCATCGTCACTTCCCTCGCCCAAATCACTTTCTGATTCGTAGGACCGCGTTGTGCACGCGTCATTTACACTCGCATTCTTGCTCCCTGTCGTGCGAAGCGTCTCCAGAACAGACTCCTTCAATGGCCGCGGTAGAGATTCGTCGAGAGGCCTTCCCGGATAAACCTGCAATAATTTCAAAATCAGAAATGTGCTGTAGGAGTAGACTAGGAAGCTCACGATTAGGCACAGGGAAAAACTTCATGAGCCGCTGCCCACAGCGCACTATATGGTCCAGGGCCAGACCTCAAAAATAGGAAGAAATAAGTCGGTTAATGACAGAAAAATCACGACGGTTTCGTTACCAATGTGTTTTGAGTCGCTGATTTTGTATTTGATGTCAAATTGCCAAGATTTTAACACCCTGACCTATTAAATGTGGGCAAGTTTATGGCACGCTGCGTCGCGGCGCGGCGCGCGGCGTGCTGCCGGCTCGAAACGCGCATTGGCGCCTACAAACCCTCAGGGATACTTCAAGCATTGCGCAATGCGTGAAGTGGCCCTGCAGGTTTATAGGCATTAGTGTGCGTTTCGCGCTGGTAGCAAGCCTCGACGCGGCGCGCTCCCGGCATCGCTAATTGCACCTCAGCTCAGCTTGTAACGAGCCTCGGTGACTAAGCGAGTAAGATGCTCGACTGCGAAACACGCTATTCCGAGTTCGATCCCCGATGGTCCTAAAACTTTCTTAAGACTATATAGACTCCGAATCATGATTCTTGATCCAAATAAACTCATTTTTTAAGTCAAATAAGCGACTTATACTGACTCAGCGGTTCAACGAATTAGCGATTTCTGTTAAATGGACAAATTCATGAAAATTTTTTTTTTTTTTTTTTTTTTTTTTTTTTTTTAAATTTCCGATTTCTAAAATTACGTTGGAAGGAGTGTATAATAATGAAAGGCGGATCGTGCTGCTATGCGCGCTGCGGACAGCGGCTCATGAAATTCTCCCCTATGCTCTGTCGGGGAGCTCAGCAAAGGGGGCAAAATTTGAAACTTTCGGCAATGAAAAATAGCGGGAATTACAAATTTATCGGCACATTGAACGAAGCGGGAAATGTTGAATCTTGGTCTGTTACAAGGGTTAGGCAAGTGAATCGAAGGTATGCTCCTTTGCTACAGGCTATCCAAAAGTGACGAGGCGTGAAGTTTGAAATGAATGCCGATTTTTTTTTATTCGATTCTCATTGGTCCAATCGCTCTCGGCTAGAGGGAGATTGGACAAATGAGAGTCGGGTATAAAAGTCGTATCATTTTTTTCGTCGTCCTTTTGTCGAAGCGGGCCTAAGAGAGCGCGAAGCGCCCCCTGGGAGTTGGGCCTCGTAGTGACCAGGGGGCATAGCCCCCTAGTACATTATACACTGTCAAGAATGGGGCTAACGTGCATATCGAGATACGCCCTTACGTCAGAGGAGCGACGGTATGTATTAAATTTGGTTGCGTTACCTTCAAGAAGCTGGGCACTGCGATTTTCCTCTGTATCCACTTCTGGAGTCGTTCGGGGACGAACTTGAGGATGGCCTCGTTGAAGACGAAGCCTTCGATGAGGCTGAGGAAGTCGACCTGCTTGCTGAGGCGCTCGGACTTGCCCTGGGCCTCGAGGACGGTGATGTCGGAGACGGCGAGACCGACGAGGAGGTTCATGAGCACGACGGCGACGAGGACGATGAAGAGGATGAAGATGAGGCGCCCGACGACCGGGTCCGCCCGCGAGTCCTCCTCGAACATGGAGCCGTAGTCGAACTCGGAGGTCATCACCACCACCTTCATCAGCGACGCCCAGAAGTCCGTGAACGGCGCCGAGCCCTCGAACTGGATCAGGAACGCGAACGTGAAGCCCAGGATCAGGATCGAGAAGGCGCAGAACACCTACGGAAAATACATTGACGTATAATACAATCTAGACTGCGCATTAGGAAATTTCGGCGAGACTGGAGTCCCTTCAGGCGAGACGATAGGCAACCCAGCAACACCCAGCAAGTGTACCGGCGATATGTACCGAGACAATGGAAATGCCAGTATTGCCAGCGCCGTTGCCTGATAAGGGCATAGTTCGTATATCCGGATGTATCAACTAAGATGAAGGCGCGTCTTTACCCTGATTTACCCCCCTAGCTGTCTTACCTCCCCCGCCTAAAGTCGGGCCTAGTGCGCGGTCTAGATTGTGTCATAAGTCGATGGGAAAATAAGAGGGGATCTTTCGTACCTTTTTAAGCCCAATCCACACTATCAAACTTTTCATCCGATATAATTTAACCAAGTTGGATGGAAAGTTGAAAGCAAAAAAAATTGATTCAATTTTACTTTTAATTCCTTCAATTACTTTTGAATGAAAAGTTGAATGTGACGTCACATTCAAGTTTCCGTTCAATTCTTCATCAAATTGTCGATTTCTTGGGTCGGAATCACACTATCCAACTTTTCATTCGAAAAGTTGAATTCAAGGGCTGAAAGAGCATGAATTGGGCTTTACTCGCAGATTTAAAATAATCAGACATTTCTGAGTAAAATTTAATACAAAATTCCAAGGAACAATTTCGTAAAAGGTGGGGGCAGGTATCACGAAAAAACGTAGGGGTAAGAGGGAGGGGTTAGTCCCCTAAAATTTTGGTAAGTACTAGGTGTCTCAATTTGTTGGATGATGGACATTTCCGATTAATTTTTGGTAGTACCGAAACAGGCCCGCCACGTCTCTACTTGGGCCCTGGTACCAGATTTAAGGCCCGGGCCCCAAGCACGGGGGTGGGGAGTCCGAAGGGCATCCTCCAAGAAATTTTTGAATTTGTAAATCTATTCGGACGCATTTTGAAGCTTCCACGTTGAGACTTTCTTAGAATTTTTTTTTTTTTTTCGAGAAGCTGGTCAACATGAAACTTGAGTTCTCCATGATTTTTCGTATTCGATAGCAGAGGATTTGGTTCAAAATTTAAAGTCGTAAATTTGGATTGTTTCTCATGGAAGAGATGAAATAAGAACGGAAATTTTGAAACACCACAATGGAGATACGTGTGATTTCGCACTTCAGTCGGTGCGATACGGACATCCATCAATTTTAAATAGTTGCATCAAGTCCCCGTCACCGCCGACCAACGCGTCTGTCGATCGAATCAAATACAGGTAGTATGAGCAGGGAGTCAAAACGCCTTCAATTTTTTAAACGCAATACGGACATCCGTCGAGGTTGTATAGTTGTATCAAGTCATCGTAGCAAACGCGTCCCATTGTTCATCGTTACAGACGAATATAAGATGAGAGAGGAAAGTCATAATGCTTTCAATTTTATACATACACATTTTTGGGCAAAATGAGAGACGACGTTTCTCCATTTGCGACGTTGCAGACTTCCTTAGAAATTTTATTTTTCTTTCGAGAAGCTGGTCAACATGAACTTAAATTCTCCATGATTTTTCGTATTCGATAGCAGAAGATTTGGTGCAAAATTGAAAGTCGTAAATTGGGATTGTTTCTCTCGGAAGGGATGAATTAAGAACGGAAATTTTGAAACACCGCAATGAAGATACGTGGTTTCGCACTTCAGTCGGACCGATACGGACATCCAACAAGCTTGAATAGTTGCATCAAGTCCCCGTCACCGCCGACCAACGCGTTTGTCGATCGAATCAACTACAGGTATTATGCGTAGGAAGTCAAAACGCCTTCAATTTTTTGAACGCAATACGGACATCCGTCGAGGTTGTATAGTTGTATCAAGGCGCCGTAGCAAGCGCGTCCCATTGTTTATCGTTACAGACGAATATAATTTGAGAGAGGCCAGTCATAATGCCTTCAATTTTATACGTACACATTTTTGGGCAAAATGAGAGACGCAGCTCTCTGGGACCTCAGTATCCCCCCCTGTATCCCCCAGGGACCCAGTATCCCCCCCCCCTTTTATGGCGGGCCTGTACCGAAACATTTGGGTTAGTAACCTAACTAATTGGGCTACTACCGCAATTAATTGGAAATGTTTAAGTTGAGACCTAACCTCTCCCTATTTTTTCCGTGATTAATTAAGGCAGTTTTGGGACCCACCGTTTGGGTTCCCTCAACTGTACGATTTTTTGCTCATTGAAGGTTTATCTTTTACAGAATTCATCATGATTTGGTAATTTTGGCCTCTTTTATTCGGATCTGATATTGGCCTAAACATGCGTCTGAAGGAGCACTCTTAACTGATTCTCCCTCTTCAGTAACGGCTATTTGATTGGTTGAGTGCTGGGAGGTAGTTTTATTTTAAGGGTTAAGTCAGGGGCATTATTAACCATCTGGGTTGCGCAATGTCCAAGATTTCAGTCTAAAATTTTTTCGCTCTTCCTCTTCACTTTGGGTCACTGGACACGGCTCCTAACGCTCTCAATCCGCTAATGGTTAGCACTTACTTTGATGAAATTGCGAGCAACAGAGAAGAACATGAGGACGTGGAGGCCCCAGCTGGGGAGACGAGAGAGCAGAACGAGTAGGTGAATCCATGCCAAGAGGACTGCAAAGGAATTGGCGTGTTTTTGGGCCTCCTCGTAACCCCAGCCCAGGTCGGACGAGGCCAGGGTGAGAGCCGTCAAGGCCAAGACACTCCACTTGAGCCACGACTCGAAGTCAGACCAGTAATACTTCTCTTGCTGACTCGCGTGTAACAGCTCCTGCAAGGAAAAAAATCGTGTAATTATTTTTGGCATTAGTCTCTCTAAGTTAGGTATCTTAACCCTCTATGGCATAGCGTTACAAATTCGTAACAGCGTAATTTTGAGGTTTTAAAAATTGAATCTTTCCTCTGCGGCATAATTTTGCAAATTTTCATTAGTTTTTTCTATTTTGAATAACTGATTCCCAAAAATTCAAAATTTTGAAAGAAAATTTGGTACTCTATGTTTTTAAGCAAGCTACAAGATAGATTATGTACATTATTAAATCCAAAATTAATTCATGCCATGGAGGGTTAACTTATAACCCTCTGAAATGGAGTCTTGCAGTGATGGAGCGTGCATGGTTGATAAATCAATCTCAAAGTGAGTTTTTACCCAAAACTACATTTTGTAAACGGATGGCTGGAGTTTATAAGAGACTTCCTGTAACATTCGTTCTCAAATTAGTTTAATTGCACTGCTGATAGGTCCGTGATTCGCTCAAACTGAGTGGTTTTTTTTTTTTTTTTTTTTTTTTTCATTGGTTAAAATACATAGGGAGCTACGCAGTATTAACCCTAATAGCTTAACAGGTACGATCTGAGTCCCTGTTTACCATGGGCGAGACTAGGAACTTTCCGTGACCGGGGGGAGGGGGACTCCGGCCCACCCAATAACTCTCTGAATATACTTTTAAACTTTTAACTAGAGGTTAACTAGAGGTCTTAAGCGGGGATGATAGACAGGCCCCCCACATACATCGGTAGGCCCCGGGGTCGGATCAGTTAGCGGGCCCCCTTTTTAGTAAACTATCTAAGGGGGCTTCGGGGGCCACCCCGAAATTTTTTTTAAAATTTTGCCTCCATTCTGAGTAATTTCATGCTATTACCGCACTTATTCAGCTTACTTTATGCAAGATTTTTCCCCTTTCAAAATCTCAGAAATATTGCAGTTATTTGAAAATTTGTCCTGAGCCGTTATTAAAAAGATCAACATTCGACGTAAAAAATATGTTTTTTTATTATTTTTTTTATATAGAAAAAAAAACCATTGTAAACTTAAAATGTCTAAAGTGAACTATTGAATAAGTTCTGACGTGGGTAAAATTGGAACTTTTGTACTTCAGGGAGGCACTACCGCCCCTCCCCCAGGCCCCGGGCTCCGGGGCTGGAGTCCCGGCAACCCTCCCTTCCCCCAATGTGGGGGGCCTGATGATAGAAGAGCCCCTTAAAAGAGGTTGATCGGACCTTGACTATGATAGCAGGAAAGGTGAGGAAGAGGAAGAACTGGCAGACGGCATCGGCAACGGCGGCGGCGAAGAATCCCTTCTGGGCCTCGGGCGAGCGATGGAGGTGGAGGAGCATGGAGCGGGCAGTGAGCGAGACGGTGAAGAGGGTGTTGACCAAGGCGAAGCACAGGAAGATCCCGCACAGCTTCTTCCACTTGAAGTGCAGGAACGTCTCGACGAGAGGGTGCGGGAGGGCGCTCTCCTTCAGGGGCTTGTCGCCCGCGTTCAGGATACTCGTCAGCACCCGCATCTGCCGACCTGCAACCGAGGGCAACGTAAGAGAATGTGAAGACCTCAAAATTTTCCGAATTTATCTCGATAAAATATTAACACTCAGAGAGAATGTATGAGTGCTATCCCCCGAAATTTTCAGAATCACAAGATTAAATTGAGAGTGAAATTATCTGAACAATCCAAGAGGAAAAGATTTGCAAGTCTACCGGAAAGTTTATATTTTATCAGATAAAATAGGGCAACGTACCGTCCGCATATTCATACTGTTTTTATGTTTAGCACGGCAGATTAGAGCCCTCACTGGAAAAAAAAAACACATTGGATCTAGAGTCCAGACTCTTGAAAACATGGACAAGAAAAAATACTCTTGATTCAATCAGATTTAAGCTGAAATCAAAAGGAAATCCGCTTAAATTTAAGAGGCTTGGTTCTTGAGTTAAGCAAAAATCCGATTGAAACAAGAGTATTTTTCTTGTCGATGTTTTTAAGAGTCTGGACTCTAGATCCAATGTGTTTTTTTTTTCCAGTGAAGTCTACCGGAAAATTTCTATTTTATCAGATAAAATGTGGCAACGTCCGTATATTCATACGGTTTTTATATTTAGCACGGCAGATCAGAGCATAGAGTACATAGAGTCGTAATGTGAATGGGAAAGCTGGCGCCATGTTCTGCTCGACGAATTCCGAGCCCGGCGTGCGCCGAGTTCGGGTCGCTTTTTCGATACATTTCCGATCCAAAATGGCGGTGTGGAATAGGTACGTGGTAATTCCTATCTCCTTTGTTGTTGTTGTTGTTGTTGTTGTTGTTGTTGTTGTTGTCATCGGATGGCCGGGTACCCGTGTATCGCAAACAATCGATTATGTATCGAAAAAGTGACCCGGCGTCACACAGGAGTCTCTGAATTCGGGACATGGAAAATGCTTAAAAGTGGCGCCAGCTCTCCCACTTACATTACGACTCTATGTACTCTATGGATTAGAGCCTTTTTTGAAAATCCGTTTACACGCGAGTTGAGCGGAGTTTACGTGATTTTGTTCTCTTGTCTCCGCCGAACTATTTTGCACAGCAACTGGTTGCGATCAATCGCACTAACGAGCTCCACGAGTGTTGCGAATGTGATGGCAGGAATTATTTATTTTGGCATTAAAAAAGGCGAAAACAAAGGGAGAGGACGTACCACCGGTGGTACCGGGGCAGAGAATGTCGTAATGGAGCTTGACGATGCATCGTGCATGATTCAGTGGGTACCCGTTCACAGTGATGGCCGAATCCAAAAGTTGGTTGACGAGCTTCACCGGTTGCGGCAAACACCACAGTAGGATTTCGATGGCAGTTCTGTCGGTTCCTTCGTTGTCCTTGACCATCTCTGCTAAATTTCCGCCGCTGCAAAAGACACGTGGAAGTTACTGTCTGTAGTGATGATGCTGATATAATCGGATCTTTTTCTGTAGGTCGTAGGCTCATAGCCAAAACACGATTTTTTAACAATACGCAGGCGAATATTTGAATTTTGAAGGCCTCATAAGTTTTGTATCCTTGTAAAACACAATTTACATTCCAAAAGAAAATTCTGCTCTTTTTTCAAGTAAAAAAAGGAAATGGACGATTTTACCAATTTTCCTAAACTAATAAAAAAAAATGCCACTTAATCTTTTTGAAAATTAATATTCAATCATGTTTTGAAAACATTCCGTAGATGGAAAAAGTCTTATTTTGACGAATAGCACACGATCCTGCAGTCTGGCGGTTAATTTTTGTATCACCCTATGTATTCACCTCCAATCATATCCGTATCTTATTTTGACTTATAGGACACGCTCCGGTTTATTTTTAGACCACCCTGTAGTTTCACCCCGAAACATATCCATCATATGACCAGTGCTCACCCGATAATGATTTCCTTAACGCAATTGCGGTGTCCGAACCTGGCGGCGATGTGGAGTGGGTACCATCGATTAGTGTTGTAACAACCGACAAGGTTCTTGTCGTGCTCGACGAGGGCTTTGACGACGCTGGCGTGACCTTTGCGCGACGCCAAGTGCAGCGCAGTCCCGCCGAAGTAAGGCACGTCACTGGCCTTTGCGTAGACGTCCGCCTCGTGTTGCAGCAGACATCTGACGCAATCCGTGTAGCCTCGCAAAGCCGCGGCGTGTAGTGGAGTCGTCCCTGAAAACGGTAATTCAGGATTCCGTGAAAGGTCTAAGAAAATACATGAGGATTGCGCAAAAAAGGTACAAGGATCGCGCGAAAAAGACACAAGGATTACGCGAATCGAAACATTAACATCTGCTACATGAATGCGCGAATTTAAACTGAAGTTACTTTAAGGTAGAAGTTTGGCAAAACAGGAAACAGTTTGAAAATAAACGCACTGTTATGTTAACGCTAGTTTATAGGTTAGTTTGTTGACAAGTCATCGATGATAAATGAAAAGAAAAGTGAAAAAAATGAAGTGAAAATATTGAATAGTGGTCGTGGGTATAAAGAACTTTCTTATTTTTTCTCGGAAAAAAAATTTAATCGGGAGAACGAGGCAACGTTGGAATGCACCTACGGCGTCGAAACACAACATAGGTCTTTTAAGCTATATAATTCGATGCCGCGATTATTCTAACTCAAGTTCGAATAATAGCGCTAAACACAGTGCGGCCGGCGTTAAATGTATATTAGCGCCTGCAAGACTTCAGGAAAACTTCACGCATTGCGCCAAACAGTGCGGTCTGCGTCAAGCCCATATCAGCGCCTACGAGACTGTATGAATACTTCTCGCATTGCGCCAAACGCAGTGCTGTCGGTTAGTTGGCGTGAAGCGCACCTACAACACTGTAGGAATGCTGTAGAGCTGCTTGTTGTCATTTTTGACTCGAGCTCCAGTTTTTACCATAATTGAAGGGAAAATATGTATCCTCGTTGTAACGATTTAGAAAGTGGGATGATATTTATTTATTTATTTATTATTTTTTTAAAAATTTTTTTTTGCATTAAAAAGAAAAATAACGAACGAAAATATCGTGTCGCAATTTTTGATAATTTCATTTGAGATCATTTAGGTGAACGGAGAATTTGCAAGGGTCTGAAATTTGTATCCGTATGTTTTGTATGTAATCCGCATAACCGTTTTCATGTAAAAAATTAATTTGTCCAATTGAATTTGGCAATATTTGATGTGCCTCGGTTCCCCTCTGCTCAACCCGGTACAAATCTAACTCTCACTCAAATGTACCGCGTAATGTGACCGAAGTCACCGAAAAACTCGAACACTTCGGCCCGAGCGAATTATATTCAGTATTTACCCACCTGTTATAGTTTCTCTTGTATTGACAAGGCTTTTGGACTTGTGTTCATCTTGTGATAAAAGGAATTCGAGAACGGCACTTGATCCTTGTTGTGTTGCCAGATGAAGAACCGTGACGTTACTTGGAAGAGTGACAAGAGTATCAGCGTTATGGTTGAGAAGAGCCTCCACAGAATCCGTGTCTCCACTGATCACCGAAATCATTAGGGCTGTGTGGTGGGTCTTGTTTTTGGCGTCAATGATCTGTGTCAATATAACAGAATAGTAGAACAGCAGCTGGTAAAGTAGTGTTGAACGTGTTAAATATCAGTATCGTAATTAATTAGGGAATATAGCGCCGTGTCTTTTTTCCCATCATCCGCTTATAGGTTTTGGCGAGGAAAATTGAGGCATGGTCATTTTTAGAGTTTATGGGGTTTTCATATGTTTTGTCACACAGACTTCCCAAGTTTTCAATATTTTGAGACTAAAAATCCGTCAAAGTACAATCTGTCATTGTGTTTTCCGTTCTAAATGGTCCTCGTGTTCCTTCAACCGTCCAAATTATGAAAACTTCTTAATTTATGAAATGCTGCATATTTTGAGATAACCTTGCACTCAAAGACCAGAAAAATCGTATTTTTAATCGTATGAAGCAAAATTTTTTTCACAATTCTTTCTCACACGATCAAAAAACTATTTTGTGCATAGTCAGCCAAATAATCAGAATTTCAGTCTAAGAAAGAATATTTGACTACTTGCCTATGCATTTAATAAAATGCCTGATTTAACCATTTGCCTGCGACGAATATAATTTTTGAATGGATTATCGATGAAATACCAGACATACCGCTTTCGCCTCTACGACGGTGAGGAGCTCGTTGATGAGCTTTGCGTTTCCCTTTTGGGCCGCTAGATGGAGCACAGTGTTAGCGTCGTGCGAAGTCGTGACAACCAGGTCCGCCCCCGCCTCGAGGAGGAGACTCACGCCGCTGGCCCATTCTTGGAGCACCGCCATGTGAAGAGGGGTCAGCCCTTTGGCGTTTTTCAAATTTATTAACCTTTGTCGTCGTCCCTCGCCACTCAGCAGGATTTTCAGGACCTCCAAACTTCCCTCTTGAACGGCCAGATGAATCGGAGCTAGGCCATCCTCATTCAATATCGTCGCATCGAAATCGTTCTCTAGTAAGATTCTCACCTGTACACATATAAGTAAATCATTGCTGAAGAAACGAAATGTAATCATTGGGAGGTGGAGCGTATAGCACCGTGACAAATCATGGAGAAATGGACCGAGTTAAGTAGAAGGGAACCAAGCTACATCAGCCATTGCCAAATTTAATCGGGCAATTTAGTTTTTTACATGAAAACGGTTGTGCGGATTTTTAAGCGAATTTCAGTTAATTTACTGCCGAGTACGAGGGGAATTCCTCAAAATGTTCTAAAGAATCCGCTCGAACGTTCTCTTGTAAAACATTAAATTGCCCGCACTTAAATTTGGCAATAGCTGATGTGGCTTGGTTCCCTTCTGCTAAACGCGCGGTCCAAATATAGGGACTGTGTAAACCTGCGGCGTTTGACTGATGTCAGTCTTGATCTGTGTCAGGTTAGTGCTCTCCGAGACTGGTTATAATCTGATCAATAGTTGCTCTGAGATCAGTCCTCATGAGCACTGAGTTGAAATAAAATGTGTTTGCACTGATGTTAGTCTTTTGCGGCACTGACTTAAGTGTTATTTGCTCCTGACATCAGTGTTAGATTGTTCCAAAGGCAAGTGCCACTTGTCGATAAAGTTTGACTAATTTTGATAAATTTTAATAATTTGACATCCACGTACGAACATTTGGTCGTATCCTTGACACTAGTCAATTTTAACGGATTTTGAGAAATATTCTGTGTTATTTCTTTAACCTTTGTTGAAAATATTGATTTTGGTTCATAATAATGAGAATGCATCTAATGCTATACGTTAGACATATTTTTTGTAATTGAAACTAATTGGACCTGTTTTCGAAACATCCGAAAATCCTCTCAGAACGAGGCGACAATCCCCAATTTTTATCCAAAGAAGTCTTTTTTCTTGAGATTCCACAGAATCGCAAGTTCTTAGAGCATGTATAAAATTGTATATGCTACCAAACAACAATGAATACATAGAGTATATAGAGTCGTAATAGGGACGGAGGAGCTGGTCCCATTTTAAGCATTTTCCAGGCACTGAATTCCATGACTTCTGTGCGGTGTCCGGTCACCATTTCGATACATAATGGATTGTTTTCAGTGCATGGATACGCGGCCATCATGTAAACAAAGAGGTAATGAATAATTATCACTTATTATTCATCGTCATTTTGGGTCGAAAATCTGACCGAATCTCGGCGCACACCTGACTCGGAACTCGTCGACCGGAACATGGCCCCAGCTCATTCCGTTACTTTGCGACTGTACATACTCTACGGATGAATCCCACGTGCCAAAATTAAATTCAAAATAGTTCTACGAGCCATCGGTAATCAGTTTTTTGCATCTCTCCCGAGACTGGAATTTTTGTGCTCCTGGTATTTTACGCGAGGGAACGTATTCATTTCATACGGATTCGTAAATTAAGGTGCTTGGAGGACAAGGCGCGTGAGTGCAGTTTTCGCTATTTCGAGAAATACCTACGCGTTTGAAGTTTCAAAATCACATAGACCCTTATGGCGGAAAGAAAGTTCATAGTGATTTTTTGATGCTTAAGAATTGGAATTTAGGAGCTTCTTTTTCACAGAATGTGCATTAAGACTGGTTTTACTTGACATCATTAATAACTCAATTTTTTCAAAATCTGCACTTATGCGCCTTGTCCTCCAAGCCCCTCAATTAATGAACCGCTAGTTTTGCTTTTTCGGTGAAATTTTGGCCTCTGGGTACGTGTTATTTAACTGGAAAGAGCTCGAAGAATTTGAGGATGAATATTCGTACCACTGAAAGGTTGCCTTTGAGCACTGCTGTGTGGAGCGGCGTCATTTTCTTACTCTTGAGGAACGTCTCGAGTTCCTCGTTGGTCTCGCCGTCGAGCTGGGCCCCGCTCATGATGAACATGTTGATAATGTTTCGCATCATGTCGTTCGTTTCCTCCGGTGGATCTTCCAGGTCGATGTGCGAGCCGCGCCGGGACCTCGAGTCACTTAAATACGATCTGGCCGCTGAAATCAAATCATAAGTTGAATGGGTCTGTTGAACGTTGCACGCGACAGATTACTGGTGTCAGTATCCATGTTTTCAGATGAGCGACTTGTCAAGTTTGAAATGAGGGGGGGGGGGTTGATGGACAGTTAGCGTTATTCCGCCAAAGTGTTACCTGTTTTCCTTCGTTGATATTCTCCTCCACCCCTCTTCTTCTTGTCTCCCCCCTCATTTTTCTTTTCTCCCTAATCCGTCATTCTCGGCCCGCCCCGTTGTTCTGTAAAAAAAGTTTCGTTTAATCTTTAAAAAATAATTATAACGTGAAAACTAAGCAAATTTCTGCAGTGGAACAGTAGACTAAACTGCTGAGTACAGCCTCATATTGCCTCTAGCGAGCATTAAATTGTCAAGATTTTCCGGGGAAGGGCCCCCGGACCAATCCCTCTCGCCCCCTGGACGGATTCCGCGCACACTCCCTGGAAATCCGCGGCTGTTTTGAGGGGGGGGGGGTACAAGGTGATGAAATATGGGAGAACTCGTCAAGTATCAAGGAGGGATGGGGAATGACACCTCTGCGAGAGATACAACCGTGTGAACAGACTTCGTAGAGGTGAAATGACACAAAAATCACGATGGTTAGGTTAAAAAAGTCTGAAATACACTCCTTTATGCGGAATTTTGCGAAGTTTGGAACACGCTTTTTTAAATTTCCCAGCCCTAGTAAAAATTGGCGATAAGAGCTGCGTTTCAAAATACCATAGGAATTCTTATAGCCGGCTGAAGAAGGCTACAGAAAATCATATAGCTGGCTGTAGAATGCGGAGAAAATCATACAGCCGGGCTATACGAAGTGATAAAAAATTATGCAGCCGGGCTTATAGTTCCTATCGCCGGGCTTTACACTTTATCGCCTGGCTGTTGCTTTTTCGCCATTGATTATAAAAGGCTATAAGATGTTGTGTAGAAATGCGTGTGCTTTGGAAATCATTAAGTTTGATACGGAACCACCTTAATATTTACAAAACACACGCTATATTTTCCTTTAATACATATTTTTCTTCATCAATTAAAACGAGAATAATCCATACAGGATGTGCAAACATTTCAAAATCATGAGTTGAAAAACGCTGACTCCGCCAGATTAAATATCAGAGCCTAGCACAAAGCGGAGCGGCGACGCACTGGCGCCTACAAACCTAACAGGGATACTTCACGCATTGCGCAACGCGTGAAGTATCCCTGTTAGGTTTGTAGGCGCCAATGCGCGTTTCGCGCTGGCTGCCCGCCTGCCGCACCGCAGCGTGTCACGGCGCTTGAAACAACTATTTCACACCAGAGGTATTGCACAGTATCATACAACATTGAAGGCGCTCTAATATAATAGGAATGGCAGGCATCCATCAAAAGTACGGAGCTTTCCTCGCAAAATAAACCAATATACTACGACCCAAAAAGAGAGCAGAGTAGTCTAAATACTCACTAAGTCCTAGCATCCGTAATTAGTGACGTTTAGCATACACTTTATCGCCTGGCTGTGAGTTGCTTAATCGTCATCGGCTATAAAAGGCTATAAGAAATTGTGTAGCCGGCTATAGAAGCTATTGGAAATCTTACAGCCGGCTTTAGGTCTATAGTATTTTGGAACACAGATTCTACTGCCAATTTTTACCAGGGAGGCGAGGGGGAGGGGAAGCAGTTTTCTAGTCACCGGAAACGAGCGGAGTTTTTTTTTCCCCCAGTGTACTTGACGCGAGACCACGGCGTAATATTGGCTGTTGTAGAGTCCCTTTATACCCAGAGTTACGACAACTCACTTTTGGTTGGGCCAGGATTGGGCTGAAAGTGGCCTAAAAAAAAATCCAATTCTGATTGGTTCTCGCTCATGGAGGCCGAAACGAGTGCACCAAGATGGCGGTACCTCGAATGTGAACAAGAATAATGAAAATATTACCTAATTGTGGTTTATCAAGAGTAAATTGTTATTTCCATAGGTCCAAAATGAAAATAGATTAAGAAATTATTCACAAACCAATCTCATTTTCTTTTTAATTGATCACTTTGTTGATGTTGTTGTTTTTGTGTGACAGACATCGCAGGATTCCTGATCCTTATCCCTCAATATCGTTCGTTTGGGTGCACTCGTTTCGGCTTCCATGGCCAGCCAAGGACGGCTGCCAGTCAGCTGATAATCGAGTTGTCGTAACTCTGGGTATAAAGGGACTCTAGGCTGTTGAGTTGAGCTGAAGGAGAATTACCTACCTTCGTCGTCACTTGGAATGCCTCTGGACTGGACGAAGTGGTGAGTGGAGCGGAGGAGTCTGGGGGCGGCGTCGTCGTCGGAGTCGTCGCCGAGGGGGACCCGTGCCCACTGGTCGCGGGAGCAGTACTCCCGTTCCTCGGGGCCCGAGAGCTCCCCGACGACGTCCATCGGGGTCAGGTCCCTGGCGTCCCGGGCCGTCGTGCTCGCCCCCGCTTTGAAGAGGAACTTGACGCAGTAGCACTTGGCCCGCTGCGACGCCACGTGAAGCGCCGTCGCGCCCAGCTGCATCGCTGACATCTGCCCAGGAAAACGAGACTCATGAGATAAACATTTATTTATAAATTTATTATGACATACGCACATGAGAGCCCCATTATAAGAGCTATGACACAGGTCAAAAAACGCTAGGAATTAGAATATACAATAATTAAGAATATAAATTACAACTGTTACATTAGGTGCGGTGGCTAGTAGAATGTTACTCAACTGCTCAATTCAGGAATTCGTTTAAATCATAAAATGCCTTGCTTAGGAGGAGATTTCGAAGTAAATTGAAACATTTCTTTACTTCACCATCGTGGAGTTGTTGTTTGATGTTCCAGGGTAGAGCATGTATAATTTGGATAGCCGAAAATTTGCAATCTTGTTCAGATCGTTTCAGTCGAACTTTTACGTTTTTGATATCTCTATGCCTGCTGTCGTAATTATGAGACGGTAGAAGATCGGAGGGGAAAACATAGGTCTAAATAATGACCCAGCCGGTGCTTTGTGCCAAATTTCAAAGAATTAAAGGCATTTTTTCAAAATCTACAGTCTGTCAAAGTGAGCTCTTCGTGTGAATTTGATAAAAATCATGTTTTGCCCCTAGCCCTCCCTCCCCCAAATTTTGACACAACTCAAAATCAATACATGTATATAAGGAGACTATAGATATAATCCTCCGTGCAAATTTCGAATGAAATTGAACAAATAGATTTTGAAATATGGCTGTACTGATTAATGCGAACCTCGAGACTTTGTTGAAAATTTACGAAAAGCTTAATTGATTTATCGTGTTAGCAGAATTGTAGGCATGAGTTGAGATGTCAGATTTAATCAGACACTCTGGGAGGAAGAACAAAGATGTCTCCTATCAAGCAGTCGACACTCTCATATGATAAAAATTTGCTGTAAGTTTGCTTATTGAAGCTTGAGATTCACTTGTGTCGTGAGATTCCATGTAATGTTTCAACTTAAAATCGTTTTTCATTAGAGAAAACAAAAATGTGAATTACAGTAGAGTCTTGATTATTTGCTGTGATTGGGACAGGAGCTACCGTGGACAATTAAAATTCGCAAATAATCCAAAACCGATCACACCAAGAAATGAGGGTGTGCCAACTCCCTGAAGGGCTTTGGAAGGATGGGGGACTTTGGCGGCTAGGTGTCACAGAGCGTCAGAAAGCGCCATAAAAGCGGCTTTGTATCTATCCAAAACCAGGCCATTTGGCCAGATTTTAAAAATGCAGTCTTTCAAAAGAAAATAATACAAAAAACTGTCAATTACTAGAAAAAAATGTAATTATAGGTTTGAAATGATTACATTTCACCTCAAAGTACTTAATTTGCCAAACATTATTTTTGGAGAGAATTTTTCACAGAAGTTGGCGCCATAAAATTGCAGCGCTTATGGGTCAAAGCCACTAAAATACCGCAGAAAATCCGAATCACGTAAAATCGAGGCGCGACGAATCGAAACACTACTGTAATTTCTTCATCCATGATAGCCTTGAATACCGTTAACTCAGCGATTTTATTTTATTTTATTTTTTATTTATTTATTTTTTATTTTCTCAAGATTATGCGTCAACCAAGGTGTTTCCAAAATCTGTGCTCAGACACCACAAATCTCAGAGAGATATGCTGTAATACTCTGCGATGACATGTAAAAAAAAAGTAAAAAGTTAGCGGGTGCTTGGTACTAACCGTCTGATTGATTGAACAATGATTATGGTCCCAGGAATCCAATGACGTGGCTTGAAGATCTTCGCATTTCGGTGGTTCTACTTTGACGTCAACGTCACCTTTGACGAGGATTTCGAGGACGCTCAAGTGCCCGCGCCAGGCTGCCAGGTGAATGGGGTGTCGACCTTTGAAATCGCTCTTGGGTTTGGCCCCGGCGGACAGCAAATGCTGCAGAATGGCCGTGTGTCCCAAGTGGGCGGCGATGTGGCTCGCGGAGACACCCGAGTCGCGGCAGACCGTGTTCACATTCGCGCCCTCGTCTAAAGCCCTATAAGAGAAACCATCATAAGAGTGAATTCGTTTTCAAAACAGGAAAGCAGTATGCCTAAAAATGAACCGACACATTTCCTGGTCAAAAATCGACAAAGTTAAATTAAGTTTTAGCAAGGTGGAGAAATAGTAATGGGTCCAATACTGAATTTAATCCAATTAAATTTTAATTTTTGGAATTTCTTGGCTTTGTTTTCCCCGCGAAATGGTGTGGACCCAGCACCATTTCTCCACCTTGTTACACACAATTCGGACCACCTCTTAGTGTTTTTTTTTTTTTTTTTTTTTTTTTTTTTTTCATTTAAATTAATTTGTATACCCTGAATGCTGCATAATACACAAGCGCTATGATTTCGTCGCTCTTCTGACGTAAGAGGGTATTTCAATTTTCACGAGAACCCTGTTCTCCTTATAACACTATGCTTTTCGCGGTCCATGTGGAAATAGAGGGACGCTCTTACGTTAGAGAAACGACAATCTATGGCTGATTATATAGGATATAAAAGATTTTATAAGATTATAAAAAATCCGATTATAGTTGAGTTATAGGTAATGCATACCAACCGCATGGGAAAGGTTGCAGCTCCCAAAATGATATAAATCAATGTACACCCCCAGGTATTTATTAAGGATTTTCTAAACGTTGAATGCGGCCAAATAGGAGAAAACTACCAATCTCATCCTAATTTCTAATCTTTTCCGCGACCTTCGATCATTCTCGACCCCTCCGGTCAGGGCCGGATTTAGTTTCTTGCCGCCCATGGGCCGCCTATATTTTGCCGCCCCATCTCATTCGTTTTGAAACATCCATAGAAACCATCAGATCAACGTGCCGGAGGTACATAAGACGCGTTTACTCGCATTTGGCACATTTTTTGTGAAAACCCTGTCAACACTAGCAAAAGTTCACGGAACTTTGCTCAAAAATTAACTTCCGTAGACCTATCTCTGTGTGGACGATGCCTTTCATTTATAAGAAAAGAACGAAAAAATTATGAATAAAAATAAACATGAATGCGGTCAAATGATCTTAATTTCCGCCACCGCGCCAACCGCACTGTGTTTGGCGCAATGCGTGAAGTATCCCTACAATCTTGTAGGCGCTATGCATTTCACGCTGACCGCTGCAGCTGACCAAGTGACCGCACTGTTTTTGACGCAATGCGTGAAGTATGCATGCAGTCTTGTAGGCACTATGAGTTTCATGCTGGCCGGTGCGCCGATAGGGCTTCTCCTTTCCATCTCAAGTTCTCGACATCATTGCTCTCTACGCCGTGCCGCTCCAGGCCATATTGCGTGCTTGGTTTCTCTCTCAACTAGACCAATGAAAGGCGCTGTCGCTTGTATCACCGAACACCAAAAGACGAACAAATCAGAACTTACTATACTTTAACTCTAAGGATATGAGAGATTTTTTTGCCTTTCTTCATTTGTGATTTTTTCTGAATCAGATTTTTCTCTTGATACCTACATTTGAAAAAATTACAACATTTGCCGCCCCCTAAATTTGCCGCCATGGTCCGCGGCCCATGTGGCCACCCCCTTAATCCGGCCTTGCCTCCGGTCTCAATCCTTGCGGATAGTCGGGACTCTAAATTTTCACTCGTGACAAGATTGTTTCAGACGCCACACAGTGGATCGAGTCGACGAGAGAGGTCGGACACGATTTTTTTTACTAAAACAGCAAACATTTAAAAGCAAATTTTAAAGTTTGAGGAGTGTTTTCTACGGTTATTTTTACGAGAAAATCAATGGAACCACTTCTAAGACCTCCACGTTTTGTAATAATAGTGGAGTTACGAGCTTTTAAAGTTCCCAAATTTTGTTCGACTTCTTCGATTGAATCGTTCCGTTGTGCGCCGTGACGTTACCCTTGTATTTTCTATTTAAAAAAAAAAAAAAAAAAAAAAAAAAAAAAAAAAAAAAAAAAAGGTGGATTTCATCGATAGATCCAACTGACGTCATAATCTCTTCCAAAGCTGTGAATAAGAATCGACTCCGATGATGCGGAATAGCCCACATTGGTGCATGACGTAATCACCGGAGCCACCGAGAGTGAAGTGAAATGAGTGTACCTTTTGACAGCGGGGAGGAGGCCTTTGATGGAGGCGTCCAGGAGTTCTGTGTTGAGGCGTTGTTGTCGTCGGTCCATCCGCCCTTGGACGCTGTCCACCGAGATTTGTGGCATGGTCGTCCGTGGCCTTGGCACTTGGAGTCCCTCGGTCACCACCACCGAGTTCAAAGCCGCCTCCTCATCCTCCGTCCAGACTGGCTGGTAACCGACTTTGTTTGACATTCCTGCTCAGGTTGGTGGAAGAATAATGAAAAACTTAATAATTTATTTCCCTCACAGTCCGAGTTTTAATTGTGTAGGAGGAAAGTTGGTTTTGTTTCTTAATCAGTGCTTGAGCGGTGGGTATTCGCAAACAAAAAAAAATTAACTTGATTAATTACTAATTAAGAAGTAGGAGTCCCCCTCCTCCCCTCCTGCCCTCGTCATCAATTTATGGAAGCACTAAATCAAACCCCTGTGCTCGTTAATGGGCATGGCTTCAGACTCTAAAAACTTTTGGTTGACTGAAAAACAACGCGTTTTTCAACTTAAGGCTATGATTTTTGGAATTAACGGTCGAATGAAAAATATATCGTCTTCATGCATTCTTCTTATTTTTCGTTTTGCACTGATTCAATTTCACGAATTGAATTCATGTGATGGAATGAAATTTCAAAAATGACAAAATGGTCACGTGGTCGTTTTGCAAAATCCCTTACAGTTTCCGTATAGAGGCCAGATAAAATTCTAAGGGGGTAGACCACTGCAATTTTCTCTTGTTGCGTTCATGTCCATAAGTTATGCAATTCGTAAAGTTGAATTAAGTTTACTCTCTTTGTTTTGTAGCCTTATTGTCATGATCATTTCGTGAAGTTGAGTCGGTGCCAAACAAAAAATGAGAAGAACGCACGAAAACGATGGATTTTTCATTTGAATGTCAATTTCAAAATCCGTAGCCTTTGATAAGTAGCACATAGCAATCGGTTCTCTGTACTCCAGTTTCTCCAATTATTCACATGGAAGAAGAATACTAAAAGTGTTATTCATTATTTATTGATGAAGCTAATGTAGTCCTTCTAACCGTCAGGATGTCATCATCTTTCGTCTCGTGTTTTTCAAAGCCATTTACATATCAATAGCCGAAGTGCGGAACCACGTATCTCTGTTGCGGTGATTCAAAATTTTCGCTTCGAGAGAGAAACTTCGAAGAAACTTTAAACAAGTCAGCTGCAGAGCTTGAAATTTATACAGAATATTTATGCTTACAGAGAAGGAAAATCAAGGAAGTTTTCAGGGAAGTATGTTGACAATTTCTCCAGAAAAAAACAAAGTATACTTAGATATGACTAGGAGTCTGCAAGGTTGCAAATTGAGATTATCTGGTTTCGCACTTTTTCCACCGCTATAATGCATAAATATTGGACTAGAAAGTAGAGTCTAAATCCATAGTATAAAATTGTGTGGTCAAACCACGATTCTTTGCAGCGCAGCACAACCATCATCGAAAAAAAAGCAAACGAATGAAAAGCTTTTGTTTTATTTGTCCCCTTTCATTTATTTAAAATTAAATAGAAAGCAGAAATTCATGACTTACCAGCAACTTTATATATCGCGTGCACTGCACAAAATAAACTCGCATTGTTTTCACCGGCACTCGAAATCAATCCTAGGAATTGTCAAAGCTCCGACAAATGGATGCCTACACTGTGGCAGGTGCATAAGAGGACCGCTCACAAGATAAGAGGCGAGTCGCCGGAATGTGCCTTGAGAAACCACTCGAGTCTAATCCTATTTTAATGTGCAGTTGAGTGATTTCTACCTTGGGTTGAGAATCGTGAGATTAGATAGTGAGACATCTCGAAAAGTGAGTCATTTGCCATGTGGTGTCGGAGGATTATTGTGTCGGAAACAAGTCTTTCATCTTCCCGCCGAAGTTCCGTTTCCTCTTGTGCGCCACTGATGTCATCAATTCAGATCCCTTGTCAGATTTGTGATGCGCCTTGGTGAATACAGAGTGCCCCAGGGTCTAACAGCAAAACTGCTAAGTGTGCTCCATGGGTCAAATTAAAACGCACTTTTCTTCCGTAAAGTGTTTTCCAAAAGTGGCCCCTGAAGGAAGTACAGTCTTCAATTTTTGGGAAATATCATCGATTTTTCTTGATTGTGGCAATGGCTAATGAGTAAAACTCACTAAATTATGTATCCTCCCTAATTTTAGCGCTGATGTGATTCCCTGGCCTCAAAAATATCAATATTTCAATCTAAAGGGTAGTTTTTGAGGTCTTCATCCGAGTTTTTCCCCCAAAAAGATGCAAGACCCCTCCACCCTCCAAAATCCCTTTTGATGAACCTGATATATTCGTATTTTTAAGCATGAATGGATTCAGCGCTGATGTATATGAGAGCTAGTCACTTTTCATAAGTGTTGGTCAATATAATCGTCTCCAAAATTCAGAAAATATATGTCTTTCTTGAAAAAGTGGAGGGCTGTCGCTCCTTCAGGGGACACTTTTGGGGGAAAAAACTTTATAGACGAAAAATGTTTTACTTTTACCCACAGAATACGCTTCTGTAATATTGCCACTTAAAACGATGAGATTGTAGTGAAAGTGAGCTTGTAACTGCGGTTAATAATGACACGTAGCTACAGGCCCGTCACATCCCATCTCGGGCCCTGGTACCAATTTTCTGGCCCGGGCCCCTAGCACAGAGGGGGGTCCGGGGGGCCTCCCCCGGGAAATTTTGGAAATTTTAAATCTATTTGGACGTTTTGAAGCTCTTATGATGGAGATTTTCCATCAATTTCTGTAGAACAATTACGCCTTTTTTTACTTTCAGCACCAAATACTTTCAAATTGTTGCATTCAAAACATCTATAAATTTTGTTTTTTGAGGGGGGCAGATGATGCTTTTCAATTCTAGGGGGAGCCGGGCCCTCATGGACTCCCCTTTCGTACGTCTATGGCAAGGGAGTTGAGCCATTGAAGTCGAGGATGCCCAGACAGGAGGCTCTTAGCATCCGACAACGGAAGAAAATGAAACGCAGTTACTAAAAATATCATTCTACATATACTCAAAATCTTGAAAATAGAAAGAAATCTCTAAAAAAGTAAGAAAAATTTTATAGTGCCCTAGCGTGTTTTTGAAACTTTATTCACCTTTTGCGGAATTTTTAGGGTAATTGTTTCACTTTTCCCTACGAGACAAGGGTTACACATGAATTCGTAGTGGTTTGTCACCTGCGTCACGGGCCCCTCCAGGACCCGGGCCCTGGTACCAAGGACCCAGTATCCCCC